CCCCGTTTCTGCGAGGACCCCAGAGAAACTGGAGGAGGGACGAGTCAGTGGGCTCTTATGTCGGGGAACACTGCTACGTAGACCTGGTTCCTTTTGGGGAGGGGGGCCTGACTCCCGTGTCGAGGTCCCCATCGTGAGGGCATTAAGCCGGACAGACTCCGTTGATCAGCCGGAATGGGTCAGTCGGATTCCATGGAGGATAGAGGGCGGTGACGATTGGTGTCATGCACCACCAGGGCGTTCAATGGCCGACACGGAGCAGAACCATGCTTTTGCACTGTTTGGCCAGATGGATCTGGCGTTAAGATTGGCGTCTCCATCTTTCCGAGTTGAGCCGCGGCAAATCCTGTACATTATTTGGGATGGATTATGGGCGAAGAAGGAATGGGAGGGGGGGGGGGGACCGTACGAGCTCTCCATCGAACTGGTTGCTTTTTCTCCACAACGGTCCAACGATGCAGCTAGCACGCCAGCAGACCTACAGGAGTCCAAGGAGCTGCTGCACCGTCCGTACCGCACCCACCCACTTACCCACATACCCGCCCGGCCGTTGGCTGGTACGTGATGGCACGCATCCGCCTTTGCTCCCCGGGGCTTCTAGAAGCAATCGTGAAGGCGGATTGCGGTGGCGAAGGAAAGGGACGGCCGCTGCAGCCACCAATTGCCATCGGCTAACGAGACCAAGTTCGCATAGGTCTGATACGATGCTGTCTGTACCTTTGCATCGCCAAGTAACAGTGGAGAGGGTGGGAGTCAGCTGTGTGATTGCTTAGCAGGTATCATCATGCAGGTGACCAACCATTGGAGATCGGTATCATTCTCGGACGGAACGCTGTTTCCTAGATGGAACCTCTTCTGGGAGGCCGCGTCCAGGGGGGGAGGGGCGTGGCTATTCGCTCAATAGTGGAAGCATGCGTTGCGTGTTATTGTTTATCGGTTGTGGTTTTAACTTTCCTATAGTTTTGCAAGCGTGTTTGGACTGGTGTCTTGGCTCTCCATGGCAACAGCAGGAAGAAAAAAAAAATAAGGTCCTCTGTGGCATTCACCTACCTCGCCTGGGTCTAGCGGCTGCGGCTTCGTCGCAGCGACGGGGTCAATTCACGACGGCGTGTCATTCATTTTCCATCTTTCAACTCTCTATCCCCCCCCTTATCTCTCTCTCTTTTCTTGTCCGAAAAGTCTCCCTGCATTTACGTTACGTACGGTACGAATTGGCGAAGCCGACTCGCAATGTCTTGCAAGCAACTCGTACGTGAGCCAGGCCAAACCCAGCACCAGCAGCCTTGGCATAATTGGCAAGTGCCCGTCGAGATCCGACACCGTGGGAGAAGCGGACCTAGACAGGCTTCGCCCAAGGAAAAACCCCTTGTGTGAGTGTGTGTGGTGGTAGTGCTTGCTGCTGGTGGTGGTGGTGCGAACAGAGAAAGAGCATCAAACGTCAGTCCCCAGGCTCATCGACGTTGATCGACCCCCTCCCCACGTTTTGTTTGTTTCCCTTCTCTTTTCTTGTTTCTCGTTTCGCCCTGCGCCGACGGGACGGCGGAAAAATACTGGGAGGGGGGGTTGGTTGGTGGTGCACAGCCGACCCGTTCGTCTCGTCTTGTTTCTCGTTTCTCTCTTTCCTGGCTTGTACCAGGTATGTACGCTGTCTGGGCCAATTTTTCCCGTCCGCGAGGTCGGTGGGATTTCTAGCTTGCTTGACGTGAACCCGTTTGATCCTCCCTCCCGTCATTCATGCGTTTCCATTTACCGCTTTATGCCGACGTGTTTCGAGTTTCACCGATAGTGCGGAGAGGGGAGGATGCCGTTCAAACACACATGTACCTACACGCGTGTTCGCGCAAGTGGGCCGATGCCACGGAGAAGCCGGTGCTTCTGATTCTCTTCGCCCCTTGTGACTCGATGATTTCACACAAAAGATTTCTTGGCGCGAGGGAAAGCAGCTTCTCGAATTGTTCTATTCTCATCCAACGTGGCTTGTTCTCACACTGGCATAAGGGGCGGTGGGTGTGGTCGTCGGATATGTCCGATCAAGGTCATGGTCAGTTGGGCCGACAAGCACGCACATTTCCAAGTCGTGAGGGGTTGAAAGTGAGCAAGTACAGGCTTCCCAGCTGTGCGACCCCTCCCCCTTTATTTTTTATTTTTTATTCATCTTGACCTATTCTGCGGTCTTGAACTCTGCATCAGATGGCATAGCCAATGTGGACGCGGACCATCGGGCCTGCGTCTGCTTTACAAGGTGTGTGTGTGTGTGAGCGGGAGAGAGAGCGACTGGCGATGGGAAAGTTTGAGGGGCTTGGGCGAAGAGCTTGTTTGGATGTCTTGGCCAACGGGCGCATTCGCTGAGTGATGAGGCGTCACCCGTCTCTCCTCTCCTTTTCCTTTCCCTCTTTCGTCCGATGTTGGGGCATGCCTGGAGTTCAACGTATGTCCTTGTTGGAAGGCCAGCTTTACGGGGTTCGGAAGAGGGGGCAACGTGGTCCCCATCCTGCCGTGCCCCCTCGGTTTGCGATGACGAAGGCTTGGATCGGGAGGCGCAGGCGGCTCTGTTTTTGACTCTGAGGCTTTGGAAGGCAGGCTGGACGAGAGGGTGAGTGAGTCGGTCTTGGCAGGGGCTTGGGAGAAGGCTGCGGGAGGGCTTCGCGTTGTGAGACGTGGCCATTGCAGGCTTGGGCCATGACTGAGATTACGGTATACGCGGCAAGGGGGTGGCCGTTATGCGATCTGTTATCTTGTGTATTTTTGGGCTGTGGTCCCGGAGAGTTTCGTGCATCACCAACAGAGGGAATAGGGGGCTGGGTTGTTGACGATGTTGTGAGTAGGTATCTTCAGCAACCTGCATGACGTGGGTCGTTCAGCCTTGGCGGGTTCGCACGTTTGAGGCTCTTGGTTTGGACTTGGCTGAAGAGAGGTTGAGTAGTTGCGTTTGCTTTCCACGAAGCCTCCGTCCCTAGGGGCGGTTGCCAGTGTTGCCGTCAAGGCACCGCGATATTCGCATGCTGCGGGCTCTGGCAAGCAATATCTATACCCAAATGACGTCTCTGAGAGACCAGGCCTTTCTTCTGCGGCGTCAGATGTTCGCTCTCGGGGTAGAAAGCCCAAGCAAGCGTTTGGGATGGTGGAAGACCGTTTCTCGTCATCAAGTCACGTTGGCGGACGTTGGCGAAAGTCCGCCGTGGTTCATTATGATGTGCCGGCCAGGGGTGAAGGGAGAGCTTAGAGGAACACATTGTCCAATGGCTGACTTGGTTTGTTCGTCGGTACTTGTTGTCGTATGTGCTAGTGAACCCGTGGACTTCTATGGGCTCTGACGGGCGACGGTTGGGGGTCTTGGTCTCCAACTGATCTGTCGTTGGAGTTGACAGCTCTGGGAGGCACCATAAGAACACCGAGTCACCAAGTCTCAGTGGTAGATGTGCAATGAAACTGACATCGGAAATGATGTAGAAACTCTGCAAGCTGTCAGAGGTTAAGGTAGGTATCACGAGAACCCCTTGTCGCCAAAGCAGCTACACGACTGATTTGTCAGAGATTGAGAACTTGCAGTTAGTCTTGCCTATGGATTTGGTTTAGTTGTTTCTCTCACTGTGTGAGGCCGGTACCGTATGGTATACGTCTGCTATGGCGTTCGATAGGTCTATGGAGTATCAGTTGCCTCCGCGTATCTGGCATCGTGGCGAGCGCTCTGTCCGGCAGTCCCTTTCAAGCTCTTACGGCTCCAGGTCAACCATTCTGCCGCCTCTGGGTGATACTTTCGCTGTAATGCTTTCCGAGGACAACAGGCATGCGAGAAGAGTCACTGATTGCATTACGAACAGAAGTGAACGGGCAGTAGCCATGATCACGCAGAAGGGGCCCTGACGATTGCATTTCACGTGTGATTGTTTCCTATGTTCCCATGCTGCATGCATCTCTCTCCGGAATGGGTTCCATTCTTCAGCTGCAAATCCCACGATGTACTCAGGTTTCTGCTATACGAGGAGGTCGAATATCATTCCTGTGAAAATGGTCTTCCTGTAGTACAACTGCTTGCTTGACACGTGAAGAAACGAGAGGATTAGGAAAGGGAAGAAATAAAGGCTCTCGAGGTTCTCGGAATCGGACCAGAGGCTCATCGAGTATTGGCTAAGTGAGCTCAGAACACACGATGCAGCCGTACAGGTATCGAAGCCTCATGCATGTCGATTGAGACTTTGACGAGTCCGACTATTGAAGTTAATTGTGGTATAAACTGTTTTCCATCAGAAAAGAACACATGTGTTCAAGCCAATTCTACCTGTGATGAAGCTGCGATATCTCGGTACTTCGTCATCACTTACACGTACTTGTTGGATATCTTGACAAACTATTCACCTCAACAGAGCCTCCCGACCTCTATGGTTCTCCGCTGTCGGCATCGATTTGCCTCGAGCTACCCTGACGGTGAGATATTCAGAACTTGCCGTCTTATTCGATATGATTTCAAATCCAGCCGAATCGCTTAGTAACAATGCATGCCATCTTTCCTGCCTCCACCATTTGAATCCATCGTTGGCTAGAACGACGGTGATCTCACTGGGTATACGCATCACCGATGCTTAACATCCAGCAATGAGAGGTACACTACAAACATCAACACCAGTGCAGTTAGCCGCGAGAATCTAGAAGCACGCATGATTTTAACTTTCTGTCAGCTCAGTAGTGAGCATGATCCACAGACAGACTAGTGATGGCATCGTGCATTGAAATAACGATGGAGCAAGATGAGCCCAATGCTCCTTCCCCGGGCATCTTCAGGTAACATGCAGGTCTATATCTATCGCCCTTTCCTCTTGATTGTCTCGTTGTTATTCCCCTTCTATTATTCACAGCACATAAAAACCCGCAGTTCCACTTCCAAACTTCGAGTCTTACCTTGCCCACACCACTCCTTTTCAATACTGTCGGCGCTCATTCATTCTCTCGCCGTACCCTCACACACAGTCTTTCTATTTCCGCCTAAAGCTCTACTACCAACAATGAAGTTCCCTCTCACCGCCCTCCTCGTTGTGGCCGTCAGCGTCCTCACTTCGGCGAAACCCCACAAGGCGCCCCTTCTCGGCCCCGCGGGCCCCCCGATTAGCAGCACAGCCCGCTGCTCGCTTGAACGCTGGCCCGGCGCGGGCCCGGTTACTGTCACCAACAGCTACATAGTCACTGCCGTCGTCGACGAGACCGTCTCCCGTATTTGCTCCCGTCTCTGGCACAATCTCAGCCGCTTCTCCTCGTGCGGCGCCATCACGAAGCCGTGGTGCGATGACCACAGCCGAGACGACAGGGTGAAGATCCTAAACTGGGGCTTCACACTCACGGCGCTTTGCGACGAGGGCGCCGTCTCATCGGCCTGGTACGAGGCGACCAGGAATCGGTACGGCAAGATCAAATGCTGAGTGTTCTCGACCCCGCTTGGCTTGATGGGACAGGTGTTTGCTCTGGTGTCGTGGCAGACCATTGTTGGTTCCCACGGTGGTTTTTTTGGATCGTCTGGTACGGACAGGAGGACATGTTGTCATGTTAATGTAGGGGATGGGTTCGTCAGTGCTTGGATTACATTGTGGACTCGTGGTTCTTTGGGCAAGGCTATCTCTCAAGGGCCCCTCGACAGCGTTGTAGAGAGTCCTACCCCAATACTGTGTACGTTTTCTCTTCATATATCGCCAGTTATATCAACTGTTTACTATTTGTCCTCATTGAAGGGCCCAGCAGTGTAAAAATCGTCAGCATTGATCACGGTTGCCCAGAACACCTTGTTTCGTTTGGGTAAATGGTACCTGAACTGTATTACAGGAGAAGAATATGCTGTCTCTAGCGCTAGAGAATTGACGACGGAGGAGGGCAACCGCAACAGACATTTTGTACATTTAATCCTCAAATGCTACGCCGGAGCCCAGCGTAACGGAGGCTATACAGAATGGCCCTTGTAAAGCACGTGAAACGCAGCCCGCCATGAATCAGAGGGCTAGCAATGGAAACTACCGATACTGCCCCCCCCCCCAAAGTACCTCTGGTTGACGTCCTGGTCTACTCCAACACCAGAAAGGCAGGCCCACAGAAGCACATGGGGAATGTCCTCGAACCGGGTTGCAATTTATCCTTCCGGCAAGACTCAGTACAGACTAACCAAGGCTCGAAACCAAACCTTTTCCCGCTGGTTGTTCGAAAGAAAAGAAACCCGCGATAACCCGAACAACCCCCTGGTCTTGAGGCCGTGCTACCGGCTGTCAGGTATATCGACGATGTAGTGTGTAGCTAGCTTGAGGTGATCATCTATGACGTTTTCCGAGTGCATCTAGGTTTGCCCCTGCTGAGTTACTCTGCAGGGTGGGTGGGGGGTACATCCATCCATGAGTGTCGCTCACAGTACCTAGGTCTGGTCAAGCGTTCTGGAAGATGCCAATACAGCATTGTATGTAGTGCGTTCAGCGAAGAACGTGGCAAGATCAGGGTTGAAATATTCGGGCGGAACCTCTAGGGTGAGGATCGCGTAGGTCGCCTCATCGATCGTCATCTCAAGGTCGATATCTGCATCGCCCGGCATGATAGACGCAATGCCCTCGGATTCGCCTTGCATTTGTCTCTGGTGCCGGCACATTTGGGGACACAACTCCGTTTAATTCGAGTAAGGGTTTGGGACGCAGAACACAGGAGAAACTCAAGAACGAAACAAGACCGCGCCTGAAATCAGAAAGAGAACTTGGCGAAGACACCATGTCAAAGACAGCGGGCAGACGCCGGAATGCTGCGAGGGGGGTCCCGATGTGTCGTGTGTGGATGGCGACCACGACTGTCAGTCCAAAAGCCGACCACTCCGTCGTCCCTTAGCAAGAAGAAGCATCGGGACATTCATGGGCAGTGCCTTCGCAGATACGCCAGATGGCAGCTCAAGTCTCACAGACTAGCACAGTTTCGAGGAGGGGGATGAGCGGAGCAGCGTCACAACGGAACCATCTAAAAAAAGAAGAGAGAGAGAGAGAGAGAGAGAGAGAGAGCAAAGAAGAAAAAAGGAGGCTCTGTTGCAAAAGGCCCCTAGTTTATAACTCCTGCACAGTTTCCATGAATCTGCCGCCGATGAAAACATACCTAGTTCCACATATGATAAGCAAGCGCCGTCGGACCTAGCCGCAGCGGATCACGGGCCCGGACCGAAGGTATGTTTCATCGACGACGGAGCGCAGCTGCCTGGTCTGGTCCTAGTCCTAGACCTGGTCCTAGTCAGTCTTGTTGAAGCTCTTGTGGTGCTTGGCCTGTCCGAGAGCCGCTTGCTCGGCCTTGACCGGACATGTGCCCGGGCGAGCTCAACCGGACGCCGTTGAGGCATCAGTAGCAACTCGTTGCATAACCACACGGCAGCAATTAGTCACCGTCAACGGCTATTGAAATTCGGTCCATGAATCGTTGGTCTAAAATTCCAGGGGCGCGAGGCGTATCCCCCAGCGGCACATTTCTAAACATAAAATACGAGATCAAGAACGGGTACAGATGTGGGGCCCCGGGATTTCACTCGCGCGGGGTTATGGCGGGGGGACTATCCGCGATATCAATAGAGCTGTAGCAGCTTCTCCACACTGTTGCCAACCGTTCAATGCTCACCCCAACGACCTTTCCAGGCATGGGTCTCAAATCCCCGTTCCAACGCCGTGACCTTAGTGCTTAGCCGTGACCTTGTCGCCGGTGATCTTCTCGACGTAAGTCTTCGCCCTATAGTTCCGCCCTAATTAGCATAGTTCGTGTCGATAGGCAGTAAGTCGCGGAGTAACTCACATATCACCCAAAGCAACCATGCAAACCGTCTGCCAAACGCCAAGACCGATACGGGGGGCCACACCACGGTAAAGGCCGGAGATACCGTTGTTTGCGTAAATGTAGCGGAAAGTGTTACCGACCGTCATCTTCTTGGGACGGTTGGGGTCCTCCTTCTTAGACTGCATCTCGACACGGATGACCTCGATGGGCTGGTTCCAGGCGGACAGACCACCACCGATACTGGACGCAAGGATCTTCTCCCAGGCACCGAGCTTCTCGCCGTCCTTCTTGCCAGTCAAATCGCGGATGCTCTGCTCAGCCAGACGGGAGAGACCGAAACGGGAACCCCAGTTGGTCATCTGACGGATGGCAACAGCGTTGACACCCTTGTTGATGCCCTTGATGCCCTCCTTGCGGTAGATGTCCATGAATGTGGCGAAGGTGCTGGGGGGCTTGACTCCCGTGGCAGCCATCTTGTGTTTGGTGATTTCGACCGTCTTCATGCAAGTACAGAAACCCATGGTGGCATAAGCCTGGGCAACACCACCCGTGATACCACCGATGATACCACCACCGAACTCGGAAGCACCAGCATTGCGGGCGTAGAACTCGGCTTCGGAGGCAACGAACAGCAGGACGGCGCCCTTGGTGGAAGCTTCAATCCAGGCCCAGGGAATAAGACCCTGGTAGACTGTGGGAAGAAGAGTGTCAGTCAATCTCGATCGCGATGTGACTATTCCGGACGGATCACTCGTCTGCTTGATAAACCATCGAGAGGGCGTCGATTCGCAGTACGCAGCATTGATTGAAGGCGGTTCCGAAATCCGAAATCCAAGCAGACACAGGTACGGAGATAGATAGATGGGAGTCATTTGGGAGGTTACTCACAGCCAAGGACACCTCCACGTCCCCAAATTCGGCCCAGGGCGCTGCCAAAGCCGTCGCCACGGTTGGCAGCCATGGTGGTCTTGATGACCTCGAGCGGCTGACCAAGGGTGGTGACCTCGAACATGTTGAGACCGGCGCCCAAGAGCAGGTTGGAGAACTTGACGGGCTTCTTCTCCAGCTTCTGGGGCTCCCCGATGGGGGCGGGCATAGTGGCGACGGCAACCATGGCTTTCTGCTACTTGTTGATAACGGAGGGGGCCCTGACCAAGGGAAGAGGGTGCTTCTTCGCGGGGGGATGTAAGGTGTAGTTGGAGTTTATGGGGTACGGGCTAGGCCGGCGGAGGGGGCTTGGGAATGGAGCCGGGAGAGTTCGAGAATGGGGAATGTGCGGCAGGTTACGGGATAAAGGCTGGTGACCTCGGATATCGAGCTGGATTAGCGAGGGAGGCCGAGGTTTTTAGTAAGGGGGAAAAGGGTGCAGGTTTTTGTTCGGGGGGGAGGGAAAGTAGGCGACGGGATTGGCCTAAACCGGGGAAGCTGTTTCTCTTGGGGGGACAGGATAGAGTAAGAAAGAACAGAAGGGGGATTCTCCGGATCTGAGCGAGCGAGGGAGGAGACGGCGCCTTTTGCACGTGGAAATTGGGTGGGTTTGGGAAAGGGAACAGTGAGCCAGGGGTGCCACCCGTACCTGAGTAGCTCCCCAATCGTTTGGTCTCAGGGCGGGCCTTGCTGAGCTGACCTGGGTTTGGACTTGGAACTTGGAACTTGGGGTCGGTCCGAGGGATCGATCCGATAGACGGACAATGCAGCCACAGTTGTTGATTGATTACTATTGCAGAAACAATCAAGCTTGGGAAATGGGAAATCGAGAGAGCGGTAAGACCTAATGTGTCCCAGTCAATCGCCGATGGATAGTTCCTCTAGAGCAATCAGGCCAAGTACTATGTAAGCAGCCAAGCAGTCATTGATTCCTTCTCGCCTAAATGGTTGAGGCAGGCACCTAAGGTACCTAGGTAGGCGAACTGGGTTTCACGCCGGTATATTGCACTGGTGTGTTCAACTCCTAAAAATGCCAGCCAGCAGATGGACGCAAAAATGACACGGGAGATGGGAATGGATTGCGACGGTGAGACGGGCGGTCAAGGCTAAGATGGCGCCGTCTGTCTGTCTGGACATTACTATAAGACGAGACCCCCTTTCCTTCTCCCTGCGCCTGCCTCGCCCAGGAGTCGTCCAACGTTAAGCATAGACGGCACGTCACGGCCAAAGTCAATTCGAGAATGTTTTCACTTACTGTCGTGTACCAATTGAACACTCCCAACATGCAGTCTAATGCCAGCCAAAGCTGGGAATAAGGATAGAAACCAGCCAGCGGTTGATGTTTCCTCACCAGGGCTGACCTCTCACCTCACCTCATTTCTCACCTCGCTCGGAGCAGACAAGCCACAGCTTTAGCAGGGAGCTCTAGCTCTCCATTGGTCTATAGCTCCCTCCAGCACCAAAACATCAGTAGGAAGAAAAAGAAAAGAAAAAACAGGGTCCGCCGGCCGCGCATCAGTCTCCAACAATGGTCACGGACTGGCCCGTGGGCTCTCCACCAGCGATTAAAAACGGACACTAACTCGCCCAGCTTGGAGCTCAACCACCCCAACAGCTCCAGCCTTGTCCCCATCTGGAGAGCTCAACGCAAAATTCCGTGGGGACGTTCCGTATGCAAAGCCTCAACCGCGACCCTCGTCGGCCCTCCACTTGCACCTCCCATTCGGTCAATCGTTTGCCATTGCCTTGTTCAACTCTCACACTCGCAATTTTCTTTCTTCCTTCTTCCTCTTCTGCGTTGATGACTCTTCTACCTAGGTAACTACCTAGGTACCTTGGTACATACAACATTACGGATACAGCCGCCAGCTTATCACTCAATGGACCCCTCCCCCCTTTAGGAAGAGCCGCGCCCTTTCCAATCTCCTTCGGGCTCCGTTTGGGGAACAAGCACTCAGTCGGCCGTATAGACATGCGTGAGCTAATGTAATGTAAGATGGCTTCGGCTTACATGCATCCATGAAAGTGACATGAACTACGGATACTGGTGCGCGCGCGTGCCTGCAGCAGCTCGACTCTAAGCTTGCATAGCTCGAGTCCGGCCGCATGCCCCAAGGGATCGCGGCGCGCCTGACATTCCATCCGTCATGCGCAAAAAAGTCTTGATCGGCAATTGTTCCCCATTCCGACTCCATCTCATCCCGAGTCATCACATCATATTGCCGTGCAACCCATGTTTTGCGAACAGACCTCGCAAGGATGGCAAACAAAAGAGTTCAGACGTAAACTTCAAATTCGTCATGGTGTATTCAGGACGCAAGCCCGTGTCAGCTTTTGGCCAAGGGAACTAAAACAAGCCAGAAATTCCCGGTAAAAGCAGCCCTTCTCGATATTGTACAAGCGCAGTGGATGGTATCGCGCGGAGCCTTTCTATCCACGCCGACTGAAACAACACGCTGCTTTTCATGTCTATTGTTGATCGCTCCTGCGACCCTGCTGCCTTTTCCGCACAGGCAACACTACTCGCGTCCGCCGTCTTCTCCTCGTCTTTCGCACTCCAGCCTCCTACGCGTACACCGCTTAGAGCTTCTTGACAATCTCGGCCCACTTGGCAGTGGAGAAGGACTTGGGGCGCTCGATGGGGGCGCCGAGGGCGCGGTCGATGATGAGTTGGGGCAGGACACCGATGGCGCGGGAGACACCGAAGAGGACGGTGTAGTAGTTGGCCTCGGTGAGACCGTAGTACTGGAGGAGGACACCAGAGTGGGCATCGACGTTGGGGTAGGGGTTCTTGGTCTTGCCGTGCTGGTTGAGGACCTCGGGGGCGATCTTGTAGACCTGGCTGACGAGTTGGAACATGGGGTCGTTGGGCATCTTCTCTGTAGGGTTGTTAGCTTCTTTCTGCGATCTTCATGGATCAACCCGGAGGGGCACGTACTCAGAGCGAACTCGCGCTGAGCGCTGTAGCGAGGGTCGGTCTTGCGGAGGACGGCGTGGCCGTAACCGGGAACGACACGGCCGGCGTTCAGGGTGGACCAGAGGTAGTCGGTGATGGCCTTATCGCTGAGGTCATCGCCAATAGACTTCTTCATCTCGGTGAGCCAGTTGAGGACCTCCTGGTTGGCCAGACCGTGGAGAGGACCAGCCAGACCGTTGAGACCAGCGGCAACGGACAGGAAGGGGGAGGACAGAGCACTGCCGACCAAGTGGGTGGTGTGGGCAGAGACGTTACCACCCTCGTGGTCGGTGTGAATGGTCAGGTAGAGACGGAGGAGCTCGACGAAGTCCTCGTTGTTGCCGAAACCGAGCTGGTTGGCGAAGTTGAAGGAGTAGTCCTTGTCCTTCTGGACGGGGGCGACCTTGCCACCCTTGAAGACGTTCTGGTAAATGCGAGCGGCAATGGTAGGCAGCTTGGCAATCAGGTCCATCGAGTCCTCAAAGGTGTATCCCCAGTAGTCCTTCTTGTTGACACCCTTGGCGTAGGCCTTAGCGAACGAAGAGGTGTGCTCGAGGGCGGTGACGGCCAGGGAGAACTGGGCCATGGGGTGAAGGTCGGTAGGGCAGTGGTCGATGAGCTCCTCGACGAACTTAGGAATGTCGGAGCGGGCAGCCCACTCGGCGGACAGGTCGCGAACCTGCTGCTCGGTAGGGACCTCGCCAGTCAGGAGAAGCCAGAAGAGACCTACGCACCGTTGTCATTACAATGAATGGAAAAGCTTATCGTGCAAACTGAACTTACCCTCAGGAAGAGGCTCCTTGCCACCGGGAGCCTTGGGGAGGAGCTCCTGGCACTCGGGGATGGTCTTGCCGCGGAAACGGATACCCTCATTGGCGTCGAGGACGGAACCCTCCCAGACAAGGCACTTGATGCCACGGGCACCGCCGTAGACCTGGTCGAGAGTGACCTGGTCGATGACCTTGCTGCCATGCTCTCTGCGGCGAGGTTAACGGATGTCGGACTCGGGACAAGGAGGCTTAACGGATGGCAGCAACTTACTTTCTCAGAGCCTTGACTTCCTCAATCTTCTCGGGGAGGAGCTCAGCGAAGCGCTCCTTCAAGGTCTAGATGCGGTCATATCAGTTTCATGATAACCGAGGTGTTGGGATCGGCCGGACGAGCGGCATGGTGGAAAGGCGGCCTACCTGGTTCTTGGAAGAGTAGCAGCGGGCGGCGTTGAAAGCTGACACCTTGAAGGGGGAGGCTCTGAGGGAAGCCCTCAGAGCGGAGGAGGAAAGACGCGCTACAGACATTGTGAAAGATATCGTGAGGCTTCAGGGACTGGTGAAGGATGAAGGTCGGAAAGGAGGGAAAGAAAAAAGCCGCAGGCAATGGGATAGAAAAATATGAAGCAAGGCGCTCTTGGACCGGGGGGCCTTTTCGGGGGGTCACGTCACAGGTGTGTGGAAATAACAATGTACCTCGGCGGGCATACGGGTTGTCTCCAAGTGCGGTGAGGTACTAACGCTAGCCATTTGGCGCTGCAGGTACATCTGTCGCACCCCGGCTGCCCTGTAGTGCGCTCCCAACGTCGGTCTAACCGTGGAATTTTTTTTTCCATTGAGCTCCCCAGGTTCCAGGTTGTCCAGAATCCAGCAGATGCAGATCGTGGCCAGACTGCAGAACATTCAACGCGCCATAGCGCGCGCACTATTGCGCCGGCATGCAGGAATTGAGTGAGAGGCTTAGCCGCCATCCGGCACTCCGTTGACCTCCTCCCTTTGAGGTCTCGATTGCTGCTATGGAAAACCTCTAGACCGTTGATACCTGAGGTAAAACCATACGGATACATACCAGGTAGATAGAAGAGGCCACGAGGGAGAAAACAAGCACCGGCGGTAGATGCGAGCGACTCGCGAAGAGATACGTACCCAGAGACGTGCAAGATGTATTTCTTGTGCGCCCCAACCGCGGATTCTGTCAATCTGGCCAGTCAACCTTGGGATCTCACCTGCGGAAGCCTTTCTTAGCGGGTCCCCCTCTTTTTCTTCTTCTTTATTTCTTTATTCCTTTATTTCCATTTATTTACGTACCCCTTATGGTTCCACCGTAACATCTGCAGAGTCTGGCATCTGCTCCAGTCCCCAGTTTTGTCACCCGTATCCAGCGCTCCTCTTGAGCGCGAAAAGCCGAGATGGGTGGTAGCTGGGCGGCTTCCCTCGGAGTACCCACTCTTCGTCCGAGTTTCGGAAGGCCCTACTTCGATTGCCCGTCGATCGTAGACACAATATCGCAGCCTTGATTTTAGACCCTTGGACGGACGGCCAAGGATAACGCGCCTCACGGTGAGACTGGGCGACCGGTAACGATCCAGACACCCGGGCTTTTTAGACCACGGCCCGGTCCCCCACGAGTTGTCCGTGTTACTCAGAATCAGCCATCTGCAGAGACGAGGACCGGACTCGCCAGAGTCAGCGTCAGTACCGTTCTCTCTCTTCCGAGCCCTGTCTCACGCATCTTCCACCAGCTCCGAGCCTCCAGGACCCGCCGTAGGTCCCAATAATGGGCCAATTAAAACCACGCATTCTGCACTCCGGCCGGTCCGCAACGCCAACCATGGCACAGCTCGACCAGCTCATCCGAAGAAGATGACTAGTTCTGTTCGTCTATCCGTACAACCAAGGCAATCAATGCTGCCTTCGGACCATCGCGTAGTCGCTCTGCAATCGCATTGCTATATGGGTAGTGGCCGCTGCATGACGAACAGGATACATTCAGGTTATCGTTTGGCGGGGTCGTGATGTGGCAGTCTGAATGGAGATCATAGTGCGGTGTTGCTAGGGAACAACCACTCCTCTGTGGATAGTAAATAATCCGTGAAGTATTGCGGCAACAAGGACAGGGTCCGGCTCTGTCATACACAAATACTCTCTCTGTTGATGTCCTGCCTGGCATCGCACACACGTTAAAGGAAGCTTTGGCCAATCCTAGCACTAGACTTAGAGACAATTCCCGCCATTTCTAAATGGGTTGACGAACTGAATCCTTGTTTGCCCAGTGCGGAATAAGCAAGCACAACTTAAGCTACCTGTTGCTGTCCGATCCGTCATCAGCGGCATCGCGGTAAAACCTCGGCGGTGGACCCATCATCTCGCTTCGAAAAAAGAAAAAAGAAAATGCAGCCTGGCAGCAATAAGACCGAAGAGATTCTGCCTCAGGCATATATATACGCACATAACGTGAGCTCGAGCTGACAAAGACATCTGGTTATTTGATTGAACTACCACTAGAAATAGGGCAAAATAAAGCGGTCTTTTGTGACGCACATACCTACCGCCTGCCACCTGCCAGCGACTCAAAGGACCAGTTCCCCGTGCTCCCCAAAGTGTCACAGCAGCTCCCATCCTCCGTCTCCACTTCTGAATTTCTTCCTCTTCCAACCTCCCATCTTCACCACTCTCCCTTCTAGGAAAATTGCCAAAAGCTCAGCGCAAGACTGCCGCCAACCATCCGCCCGCCCCGAAGCCTAAGATAACTGATTTCCATCGAAACTGCCATCGTACTTTGACGAGGATCGTATTTCTCCCTCGAGGACCGCGCAAGTCCGACCGTGGGTGAAGCCAAAAAAAAGAAGTAGTCCAGGCGACGGCTCCTGTCCTTTGAAATCTCCTCTGTGACCTTAGACGACTCGTCAAAAGGTGTCGCGCGCTCTGTCCGTACAAGTAGAGAGTCATCCAAATCCACAGACTCGATTTATTCGTACCTTGAGAGTGTGGCTTCTGCGACATTTTGGGATTTTTCTGCCTGCGGTCCGTAAAACAAGAAAACTATCGCAAAAAGCTGTTGATCGAGGGAAAGAGCGACCTGGCCATACCTGTCTTTTTTCTCATCCAGGAAAAGGCTGGTGCCTTCCTTCCGTTGACCCCTTCCACTCCCTGGAACTCGCGTATCTACCTAGGTATCTTCCCGCGCAATCAGTAAACCACACCTCGCGTCACCCTTTTTCCCCAAGCAGGTCGCGACGTCCTTTCCCCTCTCTTGCGCGCCTGCCAGTCCACCTTACATTCTTCCACCCGTACTTCTCAAGGAGACCATTTCTGAAGAAAAGCGCACCGCTGCCGCCATCGCTATTCTTGCGTATCAGCCTGCAAGATGGCTTCCGCTCCGCCTGTTGCGGCCCTTGAGGCCGCTCTCAAGGCCATCTCGGACTACAAGGCCCCTGGCGTTACAGGCACTCGCATTGCTGCTATGACCAGCATCTGTGTTGAAAACGTTCAGGTATGATACGATATTTTGATACGACGTCGTCATCTTGAGTAGGCTGGTGAAGTAGACTAACCTCTGGTCTTTTTTCTACAGTATGAATCGGTCCTTATCCAAAAGCTATTCACGTACTTCAAGATGGCAACCCCTCCCTACAAGCTCGGCATCCTGTATGTAGTGGACTCAGTGATCCGCAAATGGCTTGAGCAGGCCAGAAGTCGCCAGCAAGTCTCCAACGAGAATGCCCCAGATGGCACGTTTGGTGCCGGCGCACACCGACTGACTATGCTCATGCCCAATCTCATTGATGACCTGCTTCGAGCTTTGCCTGAGGGCTATAAGGTATGTGTCAAACCCTGGAACACCAGACCGTTATCCATAACATGCTCCCTCGTACTTTTGTGACGATGGCGGCGCTTGGTGTGTGCAGTCTTTCATCCTCTACCCTTGTCTTACACTTGGGACGCAAGAATGGAACTACAGAGACTGCACACTCACACACATTGGCGCCCATTTATTCTTGACTACAACTAAATTTGACGAATCACCCACTCACATTGCTTTGCCTTGTAGGACAAGTTGAACAAGTTGATTGAAATCTGGCGCAAGGGCCTCACTTTCCCCCCTGAGATGATAGAGTCATTCCAGAACAAGCTGGAGGAGGCTACGTCTGCCTCCGCCCCGAGTATGTTTCACCGTTTACTGAGTGCTGGGCTTTGTCACTTCGCTCGCCAAACCCTCAAGTTTCGCCTCAAACTAATTATTTTGATCTTTTAGCCCAGTCATTCACGCCGGAGGGTAGTCCCCCCCCAGACTTGGTCGAGCGGATGGGCTACAATAAGCCAGTGGTTCCGCCCTCGGCTCCGTCTTCTACACCTGCGTCAGATGCTACTAACATCCTGGCGAATCTTGAGAACCTTGCGAGGTTCTCGCGGCAACAGGGCCAGAACGGCGTTCAGGGACAGAACCAGGGACAGCCTCAATATAGTGGTCAGGGTTACAACAACGGCCAGTATCAAAATGGCAGTCACAATTCTGGTCAACCCCAAGTTCCAGTCCAGACCCAGAGTAGCCCGCAGGTGCCCGCCAACCTGCAGAGTCTGCTCTCCAGACTCCAGAGTGTCACCCCTCAGCAGCAGCAGCAGCAGTCTGCGCCTCCCATAAATTCTCAGCAGTTCCCGTACTCGATGCCCCCTTTCACTAGCGGCGTCCCTACCGCGCCAGCTCCGGCTTCGTTTTCGCTGCCTTCGGCCCAACAACAAACCCAGCCTGTCAGCATGCAATTTCCAGGTCTACCTCAGATGCCCCAGATGCCCCAAATGCCTCAGCCGCCTGCTGGTGCCTCTCTCAACACTACTGAACAGATGGTGATGTTGCAAACTCTTTTTAGCCAGGGTCTTACCGCCGACAAGTTTGCTGCCATGCTCGCCGCTGTAAACGGTGCCCAGAACGGTACGGCTCCCAGCCCCGCTGCTCCCGCTATCGTTGCCGCGCAGAATTACTACACCCAGGGCCAGGGACACGGCGGTTCTGCTCAGCCCAGTGCCAACCTCGGCCAGCTTTGGAACAATGACCGCGCGCGATCCCCGAATCGACACCAGGGTCGTTCTCGATCCAGGTCGCCCGGTCGCCACTGGGACCCGCGTAGCTCTTCTCGAGGCCGCCGTGACAACGGCACTGACTATAGCGGTCACTCCCCCGACAGAGGTGGCCGCGATAGTAGGGACAGCCGCCGCGACAGTGACTATCGTCAACGTAGTCCACCACCGAATCGTGATGGTGGCGCTAGCAACAGTTCCCGACATGGTTCAAACGACAAGTGGATCGAGTACGACCGGTCTCTCCCTGCCGGCCATATCAAGGTTCTTAGCCGAACGCTCTTCGTGGGTGGTGTCAAGTAAGCACTTTTTAGGGAGCGCGCATGCACGCCATGGTGTCAGTGACTGATAAGTGATAGCAGTATGCCGGAACGTCAAGTCCGCGAAATCTTCAGTCGTTACGGCAAAGTCCAGACGGTCATCGTCAACAAGGAGAAGCGTCATGCGTTCGTGAAAATGATATCCCGCCCCGATGCTGTTCGGGCCAAGGAGGCCATGGAAAAGCTTGCCGAAGAGCAACATGGTGACACTCAGTCCCTGCGAGTAAGCTTTACTTACAGTCATGTTTTATTGAAGCACCCTGGCTAACAATACGCAGACCAGATGGGGCGTTGGCTTTGGTCCGCGTGATGCCAGCGACTATAGCAATGGTGTTAGCGTCATCCCGATTGACCTTCTCACCGAGGCTGACCGCAAGTGGATGCTTACTGCCGAGTACGGAGGCAGTGGCGGTAGACCTATTGTAACTGGCCTAGTCGTCGAGGAGCCCGACATCGAGATTGGCGCTGGCGTGTCCTCCAAGGCCATCAGCCGTCGTATGCAGACGGACAAGAGCGGCAACCATGGCCCTCGCTCTACCCGGGCCGGGGGCGATACGAGTCGCGACGACTCCGGCCGCTGGCGCCGTAGCCGCGATCGCGACCACCGCCGCGAGGATAAGAAACTCTCTAGTACCAACGCTCAACCGCTCCCGCAGCAGTTTCCATTTGGCATCAGCACCCTGCCTAACGGCATGCCTGCCTACCCTCCCGGTTTCACGTTCCCTGCTTCCAAGGGCAACTAATACTTTTTCGATTCTCTTGCATCCTTGAAGCCTTGTATATGGGATGGACTCCAGGATTTTCTCTGTATTTTTGACGTCTTTTGGCCTCTCAACTTCTTCGGATTGGCCTGCCATGACCCGCGGCTGTGCATTCACGTGGCGTTCAAAGGGGGAAAAGGGTACCGGGATGGAAAACGGAAATACCCGCACTAAGCATTTGGCTCGAGCTGAAGGGAGGGTGGTTAAGGACTCGTTTTCGGTACAGCATGCATGATGATACCACCGTACACGAGCATTTTTGCTTGAGATGTAGCCGATTGGTTTCCTTGGCTTCGTAGAGTGATTCACTCAGTCATGAACTGGCTGTTACGTAAATCGGGTTTGAGAGGAAATGAATTGATTTGGTCTAAGTGTGTTCCGTACGGCGATGATCCCGGTATCATAGGTGTGTATTTAATGTTCGACACTCAATCTGTCCTTCAATCATCTCACCATCTCAAAGCCTCATTGATCTTGATGCCATCTAATTCTTACGGCGATTGTTTTAGGGGACTTGTGCTATCATTGCAGAAGACTGCTACCTCCATGGCTCACCTCTACTGTCAACGTTCCGCCGAAGATCTTTATGCATCTGTACATTTTCCATCCGCAGGTCCGAGAATGGACAGATCTGGCCCTGTCATCGCCAAGACACCAGTTCAAAGATAAGACAGAGTCAAAGATTTCTCAAAGTTGTTAAATAATAAGCTTACAAGACATGGTCGTTGATGTTGGCTAGGCTATCCTGCCTAAAACCATTGAGTCAGCTGTAGACGGCGTACGTGGGAGCAGGGGCTTGTTGAATTACATCCCACTATTCCACTGTTATCTGGTACTGAGTATTTCAACAGTCCCCGAGGAACCCCCCCATCCCAGCCTGCTAGCAATTGTTGCGTTGTTTGTCATGCTGCTAAGAATGTCCTATCAAAGACATGTCAGTGCAGTAGTGATCTCGGAGACAGTGGTGGCCGATCGGCCAATCACGGAACCGGCCCGAAGCTTCTAGGCCGAAGGTGGGGCCGGCCGTCACTTCCCTTCTTCAAGCGCAAACGTTCATCACTCACAGCGAGCACGTGGACGCTTCCTCCCATTCGCTTTCACTTAAGTTCTCTCGAATTACTTGTGCATCCCCCTTCCAGAAAGTCAGCCAAACAGAAGGTCCTTGAGACGTGTTCCCATTCAGGCACCCGACTCCTAAGCTACCCCGCGTGGAAAGAGGCCCCTTTCGCCAAACCCCACCGTCACCATCGTCATCGCAGGTTCGCGAAAATGACCCACTGCCACGACGAACACCACGATCACTCCCATGGAGGCCACGATGAGCACGACCACTCGGACGACATCACGCCCGCCCTGCAGCACTCTCTCTACGGCCATATCAACTTTGACGAGGTGACGGCCCTGAACGAGTCGCAGATCGGCAGTGCACGCGCCATCGTCAAGAAGACGTGGGCAGAGAGGCTCGAGCCGGAGCCCGAGGCCGTGAGCGATGCCGACGAGCAGCTGATGATTAATGTTCCGTAAGTGTGCAGGTTCCTTACAATCTCATATAATGCATACGCGGTCACTGTGTTCGCTCCCGGGAACTCATGTGCGTTATGGTCCTGATGGAGCTCTTATCCCGAATCCAAGTCATGGACTTCACATCATCTTACATCTCCATCACGTAATGTCTATAAAATCCACCCTTCACTTCTATCTCCGACTCCAAGCCAGCCACAAGACCAAAACCAACAACGACAACAACAACAATAACAACAGAAAACACCGGAACTGACATGCGTCCCAGCTTCACCGGCCAGGTCAAGCTGCACGCCCTCCTCCTCCGCACCTCCGATTCCCCCGCTGCCCCGCGCACCCTCAAGCTCTTCGCCAACCGCGACGACCTCGACTTCGCCTCCGCCGAGGACGCCCAGGCCACCCAGGAGTTTGAGCTCTCACGCACCTCCCAGGTCCAGGAGATCCCCGTCAAGCGCGCCCTCTTCGGCCGCGTCCAGCGCCTAACTCTGTTCTTCGTCGACAACTTTGGCGACGGCGAAGAGGACGAGACGCGCGTCGGGTACCTCGGCTTCAAGGGCGAGTGGATGCAGCTCGGCCGCGCGCCCGCCAACATCCTCTATGAGGCGGCGGCGAACCCGAGCGACCACAAGATCAAAGGCACGGGGATCAATGAGGTTGGCGGGGGCATCGGGGGAGGCCAGTGAGGCGGTGTTTTTCATTTGGAAAGGGCTCGGAATTAGGAGGAAGAAGAAAGCTTAATGGCAACTCCAGGATGGTGGTTAATATATCTATGCATCAAGTTTTGGTAGAAGCTCGTCTAAAAAAGGGGGGTATGATGGCATCTCCGCCATAGCCTAGCGCTAATGGAATAAAATAAGTAAAATCCTATAAGACCAAAAGAAAAAAGCCCCGACTCAATCCTTGAAATCAGGAGATGATCAAAAGCCGGACTTTCTCTTTTTTTTCTTCCCCGGTGACCGCATCGCGTTTCGCCCAAGCACGGGCTGCGACATGACCTGCGGCATCTGCGAGGAGAAGAAGGTCTGCGATGACGGCACCACCACGGGCGGCGCCTGGCTCGAGCCGATGATGGGGGGCGCCAGCTTGGGCAGCGGCTGCGTCGTCGGAGACGGCAGCGGTGCGCTTTCGGGGCCAGTTGCGGGCCCGGAGTCTTCCCACTCGTCCTGCGTCCCGTACGGTTGCGACGAAGCGCCCGCGGCGGAGGGCCCGAAGAGCTGCGATCTGCGCTTGCGGCGGCGGGACTCGGCGCGCTGACGGCGCTCGTTGATGGCGTTCATGTGCTTCGTTGAAGAGGCGAGGACGGAGGAGATGTAGCCATCGGTGCCGACGCCGCGGGTCGTGGGCCAGTACGAGAGCACCGGATGTTGGCGGGCGGGTGCGTTCGCGGTATTAAGGTCTTCGGCGAGCATACTGAGGCGCTGGAGGGCGGTGGATGGCGGCGGCGGCGGCGGCGGCGTGGGGGTGGGTGAGGCGGCAGAGGATTGGGAGAAGGGACCCGAAGAGGGGAAGGGGAAGGGGATCGAGGAGAAGGGGATGTAGGGGGATTGAGAGCGGGCGCCCTTGGTGGGTGAGAAGGAGAGACGCTGGCCGAGAGCTTGACCGCGTTTGGTGGGAGAGAGCGAGATTCGTTGGCTGAGGGGCTGGCTCAGCTTGGTTGGCGAAAGCGAGAGTCGTTGACTCGACGATAGTTGGCCTCGCTTGGCCGGCGACAGCGAGAACCGCTGGCTCGAGCGCTGGCTTGACTGTTGGCTGCTTGGCTGGGGAGGTGGTTCAGGCACCCAGGTAGGAGGCCCAGCCTCTGGGGTGGGAAGATTAGCGTCAAGAATCGCAACACCGAAGAGGGATCGGGCAATAGCCTCGGCCGTCTCGGCCAGGACGACATTGCGTGATTGTTGTGCTCTCACCGGGAGGTCCGCCGGACTCCACAGCTCCTCGAGCTGGTCGCGGATATCCGCCAATGGAGAGACCGTCTCGCCATGGCGAAGATGCTGCTTGGTAATGGGTCGAGCAATGATACGTTCGGTTTGGGCGCCCAGTAGTTCCTGGAAGCGAGAGTCCCACGCGGCAACAGCCTCGCGGGTTAGGGGCGGTGCCTCGAACGTGGTTTCGTACTCGTGCCTGGCATTAGTCAGTCTCTGTGTCCTGTGTATATGATTCATTTAACTCACAAAGTGTGTAATGGGATGTAGCCGCCCTCGGTCTCTAGACAGTTGACGACCGCCTCTTGGATGGCGTCAAAGACAGACAATGGTCCCTCAATATTGGTGTGCTCTGAGGCCATGACGACCGATTCGATGGAGATTCTAATACGGGACATGAAGAGATCGAAGTTCTGGGGTCGAGGCCACCGCTGTTGTATCCGCTGGCCACTCCCTTCTAGCTCGATATCCATGAGCTCCTGGTACCGATTGGTGCGACGCTGTACCAACTCATCCAGATCTCCCAGACCGTCAGGCACCACAAAAGTGTCCTCAAAATGCTGCAAAAATTCCCTTCGCCTCTTGTTTTGCGCCTGTCCCTGTCCGTCTCTTGACCATTCGCGACTATTGTCCGGCGGGACGACTTCGAGGACTGGGCTTGCTGAGATAGCGAGGAGGCTTTGACTGAGGCTGAGGTCTCTTCCGAGGACGAAGAGTTGTTGAAACTTGACCTGTTGGTTCATGTAATCTGCCCCTGGCCCCTTGGAGGCTGCGGATGAGGTGCTGTTCAAGAACGCTGGTACAGGACACATGGCTTGCAACTTTGATGGGTTGTTATCGAGCCTCACCACGTGGTGCTCAAATTGCGGTAACCTCGTTGCTTCAGGGATGGAAAACCAGTACACTTCGACTTCTGGCGACTTCTCGGAGTAGAGATACAGTGCGCACGCCTCATCTCCCGACCCATTGCCGTCGTGATGTACGGATAGCCTCAAGGTGTCGGCATCTGAAACCCTCATATGCGCAAAGGATTGCAGGATGGTGAGACTGCCCTGCTTAACGGTGGCTGTCCCCGGTGAGGACGTCTCAATCCAAAATAGACACGAGCTTGTGAGTATGAATACTTGGCTTCGGCTCACTGGGTTTGATTTCACGTCGAGGATGTAGTCTGGTTCATCCGACTTGAGAACCGTCAAGCTCTTGCGGAAAGATGGGTTCTTCACATCAATAACCTCAAACTTCGTGCGGTTCCACAGCAAGAGTTTCTTGGACCGCGCCGTCAAGGCAGCTAGGTCGTTTCCCGTATCAGGATCTTCGGCGGTTGGCACGTCCCATAGATCAACACCGGGGCCCGATGAGCCGACCCACAGCACTCCGTGAGGCTCTGTGCGGAAGGCCGGCGAGTCCTCATCGGGGAGCTGCTCCGTGGCGCCTAGCTGAATGTGACCGCAATGCCGGAGTTTGGGCCGCATACTAACAGATCCCAGAACGCCTCGGCCCTTGATGTCCCAGACACTGTAGTAGCCACACTCGTCCACAATGGCCAGTTGGGGTGGGTTTTTCCGAGACCCATAGCTGAAAGACACATCAGAATGTGCGAAACCGCCAGTTTGCTCCGAGGTAATGGCAAGGATGGGTTTTGGGTTGATTCGGGATGGGCGTTCCGTAGCCTTGTCAATCCCGGACGGGCGTTCTGAAACTGGCACCTTGTGGTATTCCGGCTGGAGAATCGTGGTTGATGTCCGTTTCTGCACTAGCAACCATCTTGTAGGCTCAAATCGTACCAAGCTTAGCGCAGCCTTGATCTGCAAGATCGGAGCTCCGTCACTTGACCACAACACCGTCTCTTCTCTGTCGTGCTGGTCGATGCTGAACACCCGTAGCGTCGGACTCTCATTTTCGCCCCATTGCCATTTCGTCTCGCTCATCTTGGAAAGGCGCAGGAGCTCGCCGGATTCGCCGGCAGCCATGGCCAGCACGGGGACTGGCACGACCCGGGTGTGGTTGGCGACGTCCGCCATCTGAGTGATCGCCAACAGCGGTTGAGCGGTGGGCGTGGTGTCTGGGCGCATAAGATTGGAGAGACCTTCCGCCAAGAAGCTCGAGGCTTCCAGGCTACCCACAAAGGCTTGCGGATGGGCGTTGAGAAGCCATCGTTGCTGGACTCGTTGGGAATCCCAAACCGTAGAAGAAGGCACTATTTCCGCGGACCTCGAGGCAGGATAGAGCGTTTCCGGAGCCTGAACGATGCGTATTGCTTGGGCTAGTAAATGTCAGTATCACTCAAGCTGAGTGTGGGCAGCCGCCTCACCTTGACCCGGAACACGACTTGTGTGCAACAACGGCGGTCCATCCTCTTGGCCCCCATGAGGTACAACTGTGATTTTTGGAGGGCCGTACAAGCGGGTGCTCTCTTCACGTTCGTCAGCCATTAGAGCTGTTCGTTTCCCGTAAGCCCAAGCAGTATATCCGTGAGAAACTGAGCATATCGTGAGAGAACAATGGCGCGTGCTTCATCATGCGGAGGGTAGAGTGAGCGACCGGGACGGACTATGGGCAATCGAGGACCATGTGGAAGGCCGGATGGGTCGGTGCCTGGCGAGAATCGGGTGTTACAAATCCTGAAAGGCGTTAGTCAAAAAGCAAAAGCCGGCAGTCGCAGCAAAGTCGAGGTCATGACGATAAAGCAAATGTGAGACAGCAACTGGGGGGGGACTAAGTGAGTGAGAGATCCATCCGAGAAAGTAAAAAAGTTCGGTCAGTTGCGGCTTCACAATGGACCCCCCATTTCCGGCAGTTACCCACTTTAGCCTACCGACCCCTGCTATTTTGCAACTACTGTTCACCCAGCGCGTCAGCGCCAGACGCGTTTTCCCATGCCAAAAAGAGCCTAATGTAACTTGGGCCCCGCTCGATGGAACCTCATTCACCTCTATCCCTTCAGCCTATCACTTCTCAGTGTCTCTCTGCTGTCTGTCTCTCTATTCCCTCCTCTGACACAACACCAAATGCGATACCAGAACTGAATCATCAAAACCACCCACACGAAATGCCTGCCGAAGACCGAAGCGGAAAGCAGGCCGCGGCCCAGCAAGCCGTTGACATCCTGCATGAGATCTCCACCATTCTCGTCAGTCCCCTAGACGCCTGATGCGTTGCGCAACTGGTTCCGACTCTGACCTTGTGAAAGAACTGCCATTTGGACCGCCGCACTCTCTCGATATGCATTTCCATGATTGAGAATGGCGTCAACCCCGAGGCTCTTGCTGTAAGCAAAGTATTCGCCTTGGTCGCTAAAGTTGAGCAGGAGGACTGACTGAGCCACCGCAGAGCGCTGTGAAGGAACTGAGAAAAGAGTCCCAGGAGGTAGACGCACAGATTGCCTCACGACGAAGATGAAAGATTTGCTCTCATTATACTAGGTCTTGATACGAAAGTAACGACAGGGCAGGGTAGGGCCGGATAGGAAGGAATCACCGGTAAGGCGTTTTGGGACATTGGATACGTTCGACTTTCCAGTTTCATCCATTATAGAAACTTTTATAACCCAGTCTCAAGGGGCTTCAACAATCAAAATTCTCCTCCAATACTGGAAAAGCTTGGCTATCCTAATAACGCCAACTGAACCGATGATTAACCGTGAATATGCTCGCAATGATCCATAAACCCCCATATGTCCAAACCGTGAGGTCACTCCAGGCCCCTTGCGCCGGTCTTCATAACACTCCCGCTACCAGATCCACCTTATTGTCCCGGATCGTGAATGCATCATCGCAGGGGCTATCGATGTCCGATGAGCATGATCTCATTCTCATAATCATCGTCATCATCGTCGCCATCGGAATCTTCCTCGTCCATGTCTGTGGATATAGATCCAGTATCGTCAGAGTCGTGATGCCCCCGGCCCCAAAGATTGAGGATATCGTTTTCTGACTCCTCCTCTTCTTCCTCAATTGCGCTGTGCGCCATGTTCGGCGGCAACACTGGGGGTGCCGGCGAAGCTGATCTAGCGAGACGATCCACCATTAAATGCCGCGCCTCTGGGCCGGCATGAGACGAGTGTCTTCGCCGACCGACTTGCGGTACGTCCATTCGAGCCGGGGCAGCAGCAGCCTCGACGGCAACCGGACTGGGTTCTGGGGCGATAACTGTCGGCGTGGCGGGTGTTCCATCTCTTCCGCCGCTGATCTGAAGCTCGACTGTGTTGTACGACGTGCAGATGGCACATTTCAGACCCAACCAGTGGTATGGGACTGAGCTTTTCCCGCTGCAGTCGTTGCACAAAACCGTTGCCCTGGTGTCCCGAAATTCGGGGGGCATCGGCTGAGCCAGAATAGCTAGCTCCAACTGACGGAACTGGCTTTGCATGTTAAGCAAACTTTTGTTGCAGATGGGACACTTGTACGATCGCAGCATATGCTCATCGTAGCACTTCTGGTGGATGCTGTGGCCACATCCCATGAACACGACAGGCTTGGGGGAAGTGAACATGTACTCCCCACAAATGGGGCAGTCGCAATCCGTCGAGCGCTCGATACACTTGTGGGATTGTTGTATAGATATCGAAATACATGCACAGCATTTCTGGGGATTTATGCGTTAGGGGTGGGGTTATAAACAATACGGGTCACGACACGTACCTTACAATGGAAGAAGTCTTTGCCAATACCTCTTCCGCGTCTGCAGATGCCGCAATCGTTACAGTGGTATATGTTGTTGGTTGGATGGTCGTCCCACAGCTTGCACACATTACAGTAGTAACGAGCTGACATTTCCCCGCAGTTGACACATACATCCGATGCTCGCTGAGGGCAGGCACAGAGCATGCAGAGCATATTCTTGGTTTCCTTCCTGACAAGAGTGTGATCTTCGACGGCGTCGTGACAGAAGCGGCAGGTGTACCACTTGTTGCAAGTAGAGCACTGAAGCTTGACGTTGCGCCGGTAGTGCTGGCAGCCGAGTATCAGAGAGCCTTCGGGCTCTTCCCTCGTGAAGAGCTTTGGGGGAGCATACGTCGGCCGAACGTCATCGGCGGTCAAGACAAACTTTTGCGGCGAAGACGGCTCTCCAGGCGAATGCTGCCAGAACTTCAATGATTCGAGAGGTGCAATAGGAATGGATTGCTCCCATGCCTCACCTGCGAGTATCGCGGTAGGCGGCACATCACCTTGACGGGGGGTGTCTCGAGACTTGCGGTACCCTTCCATCAAGGCCTCGTGCATCAGCCGGGCCTTTTCCTCTGCCGTGATCTCCTGGGACTGGATGCTGATGAGGCGCTTCCGCAGCGCGCCCATGCCATCGTCGGCAGGCAGAGACTCTTGGGTCGTAGGAGACATTGGCACAGTTACAGGGAAAGACGCGACTGGCGCATGTGGTGTGGGTGGTGGAGTCGGCTCGTCGTCAACGGTTGTTGAAGCACTGAGAGGTCGTGTTGGAGTCGATGGGAGTGGCGCATCGGTCGCATGCCGGGTCAGCGAGGGGTCGGAGTCGGTCGTGACAACGATAGGGTCGGGGGAAGTGTCCCGGTCGGAGACGAAGGTGGTTCTCGAGATCTCGGAAAAGCGGCGGGCCTGCCGGAGGACCGGGTTGATGATGAAGTCGGAGACCAGCGAAGACATTGAGAGAGGGAGGAGTCTTCTTAAAAGTGAGTCGAGGAACCGAGCGGGTTATGTAGAAAAGTGACGCACGGTTGTGAAACTCAGTCTACATCCGGGGCAGTAAGATCGGAGGAGGGAGGGAGGCGAAGATTACTCGGGGTGTCGCGGGGATAATATTTGAAAGGATCGGTAGTGGTACTGGCGGAGAGCGGTGGTGTTGCGTAGTAGTGGTGGTGGTACGGTACCGGACGATTGGATGCAGCAGCGATGACATAAGACGGTCGAGACCCCTAATGTAATCCGGTCTCTTTTGTCGGCGACGGCGTCAGCGGAGACGGTCGACAAGTGGGCGCGGCGGCGGCAGTGGGGGTAAAACTGAACGGGAATGAAAGACACCTGAGGCGTGTCTGAGTCTTGCACAGGTGTCGGACAGTCTCTGGGACCTGGAAATCTGCACCGTAACAGGATCGGAGAGAGAGAGGGAGAGAGAGAGAGAGAGAGAGAGAGAGAGAGAGAGAGAGAGAGAGAGAGTTATCAGCGAATGTCTGGGTGTGCCTGTGAATACTGGTGTGTGTGCATGGAGCCGGCCGGGACCAGCGAGGAGGGGAAATGGCATGGAATGGACGCCAGGAAGTCGAAAAAGACATGTGATGCGCCGTCCTTGCGATGCGATCCCGCATGCGGCTTCAGCGAAGCTTGACTCGGCGGGGCTAATTGGCCGGCGGCCGCGCCCAGACGGTGACACTGGCGGATTTGGCTGCCTAGTGGGTCGCTGAACTGAGTGAGATGGATGTCCGGGCAGGCACTGGATGCCACGACCCCCTTTTGTCTCTGTCCGATTGAAAAAGAAACAAAAAAGACGGCTTTTGGTGAGCCAGTTCGCGGGCATCTTGCTCAGGCTGGAAGCTGAGCCTGTGACAGGTACCGACGGATACTTGCATGGCTATTCATCACATCAAAACACCCTCCACCCTTCAGATTGGTTTTTTTTTAAAAACAAGAAGAAAAGGCACCTTTGAATGATTTGAATACATTAGAGGTTGATATTTAGCGTTGCTTAACTCCATCATACTAGGAGACACCCAACTAGCCAACCTGTACAGAGCACGGCCTATATGCCGTATGCCCGCAATGGGACTTCACCTCGCCGATGATGTTTATGTCGATACCTACGATGCGATGGGAGCTGGGAGCTGGAATGGGCGGCTAGCTCCGAAGGCAGGGGGGCCATAATACGGGCTGGAAGGGGTTGACGCATACGGAGCTCGCTGCTTCGGGGGGCCCCGACTGCTGTCAACTTGAAGAGACAAGCCATTGTCATTGTGCTGCAGGCCTATGTGTTTGTCCCATCAGGTCTCTGGCTGCACACTAGCAGCGACCTCGTGGAAAACAATGAATGTAGCTGCAGGATTGCACTAGTTGCATCATGTCTTCTTTAGTGTTGCTATGACGCCGATAACGACGCTCATGTCAAGCTTGATGGATGGAAGAGGCAAAGTAAAGTCAAGAACCGGAGGGGGATGATGGTGAGATATACTGTCAGCTAGAGCCGACGATGCTTCCGCGGGGCCCAAGAGGACTTCAGGGGAAATGCAGTTGTGGGGGCAGGGGAGCATTCCATCGGGAGGCGATGCGCGTCCAGTACTCCGTACCAGGTATGACCTCCAGCTCTTCGGGGCCGAGCCAATGGAATCACGACATTGGCCCCCGATGCGCTTCTGGTTTGGTACCTCTTTGGTGTACCCTTGGTTCGCGTTAAGTGTGGTCTGGTCTGTAAGGGATAGCCCGTCTGTTGGTGCATAGGTGGCATTTAATTTCGTGTTGCCTTGCCCGCGCAAGGGGGCAGGTACCTAGCTCTCCCAATTTAGTGGACGGGAAAATCCCATCCCACCTTGCCCAAGGGCACTCTCCCGTCACCTCCATATTAATTACATGATTCTTTTTCCAGCTTTCCCTTCTCCTTCCCCAGCTCACCTACCTTCAGGAGCCCCAGCAGCCAGTCAATCTTGATGAGGTGGTTTGGTTTGTAGAAACCAAACGCTTCGAGAGAAACCCGCTGATTTTTGTTTAGCGGCTTTCCTCCGGTGGTTCATCATCCCACGTATCCCCTTCTCCAACTTTTTATTGATTTACACCTTGAGTTTTGACTCGTCCGGTCCTTAACACAGAGCTGAGAGCCCCTGTTCTTGGAGCTTGACTCTTTCTCTCCATCCGTCGCCTTTCCCGTCCACACTCCCTAAGCCGCGTTCGTCACCGACTTCGGCCATCCCGTTCCGACAGTCAGTCTCCTATCTCTATTCAACATTCTTCGTCACCCCGTTCGTTCCGTTTGCTGACTTTGCAGGCGAACAGCCATGGCTGTCGAAAAGCCAATTGTCGCGTCCGGAGCAGACGTCGGCGATGGCGTCAGACGCCGTGCCGTGCCACAAGGCCAGTCAGTTCCCCTGACGGCCGCTCCGGAGGTCGATGACAAGAAGAAGCTTGCCAAGAAGGTAAGCCTGTCCTTTCCTTTTCTAGTGCCTATCCATCACAGAACTGCGTGATGCTGACGAAACGCTTCTTTTTCTCCAGGGTCCCTCCTTCCTCGACCAGTACGAGGTAGTCATCGCCCCCATCGTCTTCACAGCCGTTGCCATCTTCACACGACTCTGGAGAATCGGTCTCAGCAACATCGTTACCTGGGACGAGGCCCACTTTGGCAAGTTTGGAAGCCACTACATCAAGCATGAATACTACTTCGACGTTCACCCGCCCTTGGGCAAGATGCTCGTTGGTCTGTCCGGAGTTCTCGCCGGTTACAACGGATCTTTCGAGTTCAAGTCTGGCGAAAAGTACCCAGAGGACGTTGACTACACCTTCATGAGAGCCTTCAACGCTCTCTTTGGCATTCTCTGCATTCCCATGGCCTACTTCACCGCTCGCGAGCTGAACCTGCGCCGCCCTGCCGTCTGGCTCGTTACCTTGATGGTTCTCTGCGAAAATTCCTACACCACCATCAGCCGCTTCATTCTCCTCGACTCAATGCTACTCTTCGGAACCGTCGCCACTGTTCTCTGCTGGGCCAAGTTTCACAACCAGCGCCACAACGCCTTTGAGCCCGAATGGTTCTTCTGGCTGTTCATGACTGGTCTTAGCATTGGTTGCGTGTGCAGTGTCAAGCTCGTCGGTCTCTTTGTAACTGCCCTCGTCGGCCTCTACACCATTGAGGATCTCTGGAACAAGTTTGGCGACACAAAAATGCCCGTCACTACGCTGGGTGCCCATGTCGTCACCCGCGTTGTCGGCCTCATCATTGTTCCCTTCCTGGTTTACATGCTCTCTTTCGCTCTTCATTTCGCCATCCTTGACCAAACTGGTCCCGGTGACGCTCAAATGAGCTCCCTGTTCCAGGCCAACCTCAAGGGCACCGAGGTTGGCAAGAACAGCCCCTTGGAGATCGCCTACGGCTCGCGCGCCACCATCAAGAACATGGGATATGGTGGCGGCCTGCTTCATTCTCACATCCAGACATACCCTGAGGGCTCTACCCAACAGCAGGTCACTTGCTACCACCACAAGGATGCCAACAATGACTGGTTCTTCTACCCCAACCGCCACGACGAGGACTACAACCCTGAGGCCGAACCCCGCTTCATTGCTGATGGTAGTACTATTCGCCTCATCCACGCCCAGACCGGACGTAACCTCCATTCCCACGAGATTGCTGCTCCCATTACCAAGGCCGACAAGGAGGTCTCTTGCTACGGCAATCTCACCATTGGTGATGACAAGGACCACTGGCAGGTCGAGGTTGTTCGCGATGTTGCCTCTCGTGACCGTAGCCGCATCCGTACTCTTACTACCGCCTTCCGCTTGAAGCACCCAGTCCTCGGCTGCTACCTCCGCGCTGGCAACGTCAACCTACCTCAGTGGGGTTTCAAGCAGATTGAGGTTACCTGTACCAAGAAGAACAACCCCAAAGACTCGTACACACACTGGAACGTTGAGGCCCACACCAACGATAAGCGTAAGTCGTCGACGGCGAAAAAACAGAATAGAAAATGGCACTCTGAATCCGCCGCTAACTGATATGCAGTACCCCCTGGCGACCCTGGATCCTACAAGTCTCCCTTCCTCCATGACTTTATTCATCTTAACGTCGCCATGATGACATCCAACAATGCTCTTGTTCCCGATCCCGACAAGCAGGACGACTTGGCATCTCATTGGTGGCAGTGGCCTATCCTGAACGTCGGTCTGCGTATGTGTGGTTGGGATGACAACATTGTCAAGTACTTCCTCCTTGGCAACCCTCTTGTCTACTGGGGCTCCACAGCCGGCCTTGGCATCTTTGCTCTCGTCGTCGTCTGGTACATCGTCCGCTGGCAGCGTGGCTATAACGACTTGAACACGAAGGAGGTTGATCAGATCCACTACGCGGGACTGTACCCCGTAGCAGGCTGGTTCCTTCACTACCTTCCCTTCGTCGTCATGGCTCGTGTCACCTATGTCCACCACTACTACCCCGCCCTCTATTTCGCCATCCTTACCTTCGGCTTCTTGGCCGATTGGTTCCTCCGCAACAGAAACCACATCGTTCAATACACCGTCTACGGTGTTTTGTACGCGGCCATCATCGGACTCTACATCCTCTTCAGCCCCATCTGCTTCGGCATGACGGGCCCCAACAAGCAGTACAGCTACCTGAAGTGGTTCGACAGCTGGAGAATCTCGGACTAAGTCACGGAACGAAATCTTAATACAACCACTTGTAATTAAAGGTTTGTGCTGTTAAATCATGTACTTGGGGAGAGCAGGAGGATCCATGACTCAACTTTCCCCACCCAGCTCATTGTAAGAATATGGGCGATTAAAAGGGGTAACAGCTGGTGTTCTGTGCTTGGAATAGGAGAGAGACAGCCGGCGGATGATACTTCCGTGCATAATACAACGTGCATTGTTTCCTTGTTTCTGCAACGCGCTCTGATCTGCCAATCCCAGAGACTTGAATCAACTATGACGGTGAATTATGATTAAAAGTAATAGTACAAGGTTGAAGGACGAGAAGGAGCTAAAGACTCTTGCCGGTAGCCTTGGGTATCACTAACCTTCTCGTATGTGTGCTTTTTTTTCTCTTTCTTTTTTGGTGGTACACTGTGCGGCAGCCCATCTAGCAACAGCCACCGCCCGATCCCTTGTGTGCGTCGCTTCCTACCTTGATCTGCCTACCCCCTCCGGCGCCGGGCCCCTTGACACCCGACCTCCGGTCATTGAGGTCATACTTGCCGGCCTGGATGTTGTTATATATCCTCTCAGCGACCCTCATGAAGGCCTTTTCGACGTTCTCGCCGCTCTTGGCGCTCGTCTCGACGTACTCAAAGACGCCATTCCTCTTCGCCCATTCCTCGGCCTCCTCCTTGGTGACCTCGCGCTTGTTATTCTCATCCTGGGTGAGGTCAGCCTTATTGCCGACGAGAATGACGACGATGTCGGGCTCGGCGATCTGGCGAAGGTCGTTGAGCCAGTCAGTGACGTGCTGGAAGGTCTGCTTGCGGCTAAGGTCGAAAACGAGGAGGGCCCCGCTAGCGCCGCGGAAGTAGGAGCGCGTGACAGATTTGTACGTCTCCTGCCCCGCCGTGTCCCAGAGGGAGAGCTTCATATGCTTCTGGGGCCCGTCGGCGGCCGCCGGTTCGGGGAGGCGTGGAGGCTCGGGGAGACCGTTGGACGTGGCTGTGCCATCCTCCTTGGTCTTCTGGGCGGCGGACGACGCTGGGACGGTATGGGCGGGAGGGAGGGCGTTGGGTGGGCCAACAGGGACGATGCGGGAGCCGAACTCAACGCCGATGGTCACATCGTGATGAGGAGAGAAGCGGCCCTCGCAGAGACGGATGGTGAGGCTGGACTTGCCGCAGCCCGAGTCGCCAATGCAGACGAGTTTAGCGATGTAGTCCCATGGTGGAGACGACATGACCCTTAAGCGGGATGGGTTCGTGGGTTTGGGGGAAAGGGGGTGAGAGAGATGAAGGTCTGTGGTCCTTCTTTTTTTTCCTTCTTCCCGAGAGGATGAAGCGCTGGATTCTCCTGTTTGTTTTTTTCGGCTAGTCCGTAAGGCAGGGCTTTGCTTCGATGATAGAGGATTCGAGAAGATGAGGCTAAGGAGGGCGTGAGCGTGTCTTTGATGTGGTTATGGTAGGTGGTTGATGTTGGTCTGATGTTGAGGAGCTTCAAACAGCTGTCGTGGTTTGTCCGAGCACGTGTTCGGGAGAAGGGGGGAAAGGAATGTTGTTAGTAGGAAGATGTCGTCTGTTCTCAATGGGATGTTCCCGTGGCCACCGAAGAAAACGGTTGAGAAAGAAGGCAGTCCAGTCTGTCTGCGGCTCTGCAGTGCTATTCCAAGAGGAGAAAATAAAAATAAAAATCGATGACCTCGTCTGTACGTTAAGCTCCTGCGACGTACAGTCCAACGTAGGTGGGATCCAATAGGTACGTTTGTAGGAAACGGCGAAGTGTATCACGCTGGTCAATGTTAAAGATGGTCTCCCCTGTCACGGGCAAGGCCCAGAAGACGGCCAGAGCCCCAATTAAGATTGGACCGCTGACCAGGGAAAAAGGCGGGCAGGGTTGGGGGCCATTGGTGTTATCAGTGACGCAAGTGCTGAGGTGATAAGCAGAGGCGAGCCACCAGCCAGGGTAGGTAGTCAGTTGACGACGACCTGGAGATGACCAACTGACTTGACCTCCGAGTCTAGCGACTAACGACTGAATGACTCGGGAGGTTGGACCAGACTAAAGCGGTCGCTGGTGTCTCACGCTGGGACATGTCAGTGCCATGTAGCAAAGTGAGGAGATTTGCAGCGCAGATAGGAGGAACGTATCAAGTACGTGGGTTCGTGGGAATCACAGGTGCCAGAGAGGTAACCGTGAGGCATGCCCTTCCCTCAAGCAGAAGGCTTTCATGTTTCCTTTGCCTAGGGGATGCCCATGGGTTGGTTTCCTGCACATTCCAACAAGGTTGTCTTTTACGGACATTATCCGGGTACTGTACGAGAAACGGTTCCCAGAGTCCGCTTCGAGGCGAACCTGAAAAGGAGTCAGCCAAAAGCGCCCACGGCCAGGCCCATCTGGTACTGTAAGGTAATCCAGGCCCTCAATGCTGCAATGCTTCACACCAGCAATGCATCACACTAACTTACCGCCTTATCGCCCACTTAAAGTCGGGATGAGTGCCGGCAGCTGCCATGGGTGGTGTGGGTGGCTACCTACCACCATGCCCCTGCCTCACCGGGTACACTACTGACGTTTTGGGTGGCTGGTCTGTTAGCGAGGGAGGTACCCGGGGTGACGGTGGAGGGATAGGAAAGGGTCCTAGGTAGTTGTTGCTGATTGCGGGAAGTGTCAGTGTCGTGTGCTCCAGGCTGCCTAACTGTGTGCTATGTCGCTGTTTAAGCTGAGGCTGCAGCGCCCGCGCTGCCTAACAAGCCTCCATCCCAGTCCGCCTAGCAGATGGCGGGTTACCCATGTACCCCGAACCCGTGCCGCCACAACCACTTCCCTCGCTGGTCCACTCGTTCGCCTGCCCACCTAGGCAGGCACCTTCACCTCTTCATCCGGGCTGTACCCCATGACCTCCGATTCATCTTCTTCCCGACATCTTGGTGCAGATGCCCTTTTCACGAGCACCCCGGCCTTGACCTGAAAGTGCCTATTCCACTCAAGGGTGACTGACATTTTACCCGCTTCAAGAATCTCATCGCAGAAGTTGTTTTGAGCCCCCCGCCCGCCAGTCGCGTCTTGTTTCCTGTTTGCGTATACACCAGTAGTGTCCACCGCCGCCGGCACCCAAACATTCCACCCGTTTACTCTTTGTCCGTTATCGTCATTCACACGCCTTACATAGGCTGCCGACTTTATCTATACCCATCTTCCCGCGTTCCTGACCGACCCCGAAAGAGCACGCGGATTTCCTTCTGAGGGGACGAGGTCCTCACTACCGATAGCACCATGTTCTCGGAATGTAAGTCTATTCTCCTGTCACTGCCAAAAGCCTCGGCGACGCCAACCGGCGGTCGACTGACAAACCCGTTCCCCCAGATGCGTCCAGGTTCCTGGCGCAGTCACAATCCCGAATCTCCAACTTCGCAGGCCAAGTCGAAGGCAACGAGAACCCACCACGACAACCCAACGACTGGTCATCACGACCTTCGCGAAATGGCGGACGGTCCTTCCTAGGCAGAGGTTACGGTGGAAACCCATACCAGGCGGGTGGCTCACGTTTCGGGCAGATGGGCTTCGCCTCCCGGATCTCCACTGCCCAGGATGCACCGCTTTTTCACAGTACGCTCGACGAGTACATGGAGGAAGACGACGAGGACGAGAGGGACCGCGAGGCGGCGGATATGGCCGCCCTCCACATGTCACGGCGCGTGGCCGCCGCGAGCAAGATGGCGGAGAGCTCTGAGACGGAACCGGACGCTAGCCGTGGCTCACTGGAGCATAGCAATGAGGGCCCTGGACGCAGGTATCAAGACCGCGGTCTGCGGAGGGGTATCCGCAGCAGCTGGAACGGCACGAGGAGTTTTGGTGGACGCAACCGCGGGAGGGACGCCATAGACGAAGAGGCAGAGGACATCCCACGCGAGGGCTCCGACCGGGGCTCGGATACGAACCCTAGAATGGTCGATATCGGGCTGGACTCTCAGATCCGGGACGACGACGACGACGACGACCCGTCTGCGTCGTTGCTGAACGAGACGCATACGGACTCGAGCCCGCCCGCTTTCCAGAAGTTCCAACCAAAGTCGGGAGATCGCAAGTTCCCGCTGCGGAGGGAAGCCACCCGACAAGACGACTTTGAGGAGGCCCGGCGGGCGAGCTCCGACGACGAGGCTCTGCCTGCGACGGTTCCGCTGGCCGAAGGTGAAATATTCAAGTACGACCCTTTCTTTGCTTGGATCTTCCTTATTGCGTTAGCTGGTCTGGTATCTACGTTCGTGCTCGTCTGGCTGCATACGGGCACGCCTAAGAAGGGATGGGGTGACACAGTCTACACGACGTTACAAGCATCTTTCTACATGTTGGCCATCGACACTCTTATTTCGGTTATTGTGTCTTTTGTCTGGCTGGCGGCCCTTCGGTCGTTCGCCCGGCCGCTGGCGCTCCTGATTCTCGTGGCAGTACCCATCATCATGTTCTCGTTCACTCTGTACCCATTCATTTCCAGCTACGAAGGTCGGTCGCATGGGACTAGCTTTCAGGACCGGGCCATGCGGTGGGCCGCTCTTGTTCCAGCCATATCTGCCGTTGTCTGGGTGTACATGGCTTACAAGGGCCGACATGCTATCCGCCAGGCGATCGAGATCATAGAGTTTTCCACAAGGATCCTCGCAGCGAATACGGCGCTCCTCATCTTGGGTTTCAGCTGTCTGGCACTGATAGTAACCTGGACCTGGATCTGGATGTGGATGTTCTCGAGAATCTTCTTGGGAGGCTACTTTTCGCGCAGGCTCGCCAGGTTCATCATCAGCGTGTCCAGCTGGTGGCTCGGAATCTGGTTCGTCCTTATGTACATGTGGACCATCGGCGTCATCAACGCAGTGCAACGGGCGACGACAGCGGCGACGGTGTCACAATGGTACTTCCACCGCAATGCGGCCCCAGCACCGACATCGGCGGAGATTGTCACCGCTGCGCTGAACCACGCAACGACGACCATCTTTGGCAGCATCTGCGAGTCGACGCTTCTGGCATTGCTCATCAGGGCGCCTCTTCTCGTGCTTCCCCGGAGGATGGCCAACATCCTCCAGCACATCGCCGCCATGTGGATACCGACCCCCATCGCCGCGCTCATGAATCCCCTGACCATTACGTATGGGGCAATTCACTCGCAGAATTTGCACACGGCGGCCCGCGGCCTCAGCCAGATGGACTTCCTCTCGCCGCAGCGGCCGACGACAACACTGACGCCGCAGGTTTTCAGCTCACGGCGATCCAGCCACTCTCCTTTGCTTCCTTACCGGCTCGCAAAGATGCTTTTGTACGCAACGCGATTCATTATGGCTACGGCGCTCGGGTTTGCGGGATGGGTCATGACGGCGAAGCAGCTCTCAATCGCTCTGCCGGACGGGATGGGGGTACGGGGCTCGGCGTACGCATATGTGGTTGGCATAGTGGCCAGTTTCATTGGGTTTTCGGTCATGGGCGCCATGGAAGGTATTCTCAGCGGTATTTTGGATGCCGTGGTGATTTGCTACGGCAGCGAGCGACGGATGGCCAGCGGAGGGGGCGCTTACTGCATGGAGGCGGCCTACCTCTTTGGCGAGAGACGGCGGGACGAAAGAGGCCTGCCTTGAGGAAACATGTTTATACATTGAGTGATTGCAGTACTTTTTGGGACACAGAGATTGTATGGTCGTTGAGGGGTTTGGGAGTTTCTTGTGCAGCATATGCTTTACACGCCGAGATGGGATAGACGCTTGGGAACGGGACTTTTTTTGAATAAAGCTTTCAGGTTCACCGTTGAGATGAGAGCGTTGTCGTCTGCTTCCTGATAGCGACCGGCATAGGCACATGTGCCAAGCCTGACAACTTTCTGGAGGATGGAGGGCGAGTGGTGTAAGGCTGCGCCACAATTTGCTCGCGTTCAAGTGTCCATCTTGGCGTATAGGGGCGGAGTGCGGCGTGGTTCGGGGATTTGAATACCTAATCATATTGGTACATACATGTGTGCTACCATGTACAGCAGCATCGCGAACCTGCACGAATATCGAAGGCAATGTGCACCGCCACACGGGGATTGTGGGCATTACGCGGTGATGGTGTCACCTGGACTCGCGCAGCGCGTCGACTCGCAAAGAAAGCACGCATATCGCCACCGTTGCTCATCATACCTAGACAAGCACTACCTAATCCTATTGAATCAAGCAGGTTCTTGCTGAACGTGGCCTGTAAGATCGAAGCTTCAGTCACAACACTTGTGCGTACGGGCATGGGCAAGTTAAGAGAGCAGGCGGAAAGAAAGAGTTCAGAAATGATCTCATTGGAAAGGCATGAAAACCAAGCACTCTATGAGAGGGAGGAGTCAAACCCATGGGCCCCCCCTCCACTGGTGGAGCTTTGGCTCGTGCGAGAGAGTCGAGCCTTTTAGGGGAGTAGGAGAGGGGTTCGCTTCAGGGTATCGACCGAGGTGCCGAAGTGGTATCCTGGAGTATCATGTTGCCATGTCTTTTGTGGAAAGGTACCGCCGAGAGACATTCATGCGCCGCCCCACGTTCTCAGGTCGGAGATCCAGCATCCGGGGTCTCAGAGAAACAAAAACAGCTGCTAGAGCTAGCTGCAAGCGGAACGAAGCGAAACAAAAGGGGCCTCTGGAGGGGGGACAAGGCAGCAGAGCGACGCTGGGGAAGAGAGTTGAGTTGCTGATGTGTAAGTGAGTTTGAGGGGCAAACCCCACTCATCACATCCGACAAGCATCAGAATAGAGGGGCTGTGCTTTTTGCGGCTTGCATCGATGGCGGGCCCTCGTTGCAGCGCCGGCGGAAGTACAACAGTGGCCTTGGGAGCCAAGAGGCAGTATTGCAGCGGTAGCAGGAGTGGGAAGATAGGCAGCGTTGGAGACCACAGCTTCGAGAAGCACCATAGAAAAGACGAATGGGGACCGAACCGACTGCATTCTGAGGTGATTCGGCCCGGTCAGTGATCAGCAAGCGGGATTACATATGACAGGGTGAGCTTTTGGCTCTTCTCAACTCTCTTTCTCCGCCGTCTCTCGCCTCAATCAGGACTTCGTAAACCCATAATGACATGGGGAGCGGTTTGCCATGTGTCATATGCCATTTGCCATTATATTGTTCCGCCGTCAAAGAGGCAGCTTAAAATTGTTGACCGATCTAGGTAACCCACTCAGCAAGGGACGACTGCCCGCGTGCAAAAGCCTCCGCCTCGTTGCATCCTCATCCCTTCCCAACGTGGGCGAAAGAATCGCGGGAGATGCGGAAACGACGGGATGCGAATGGGACGTGCCCGTTCCCCAAAGGGTAGACACCCGCACCTTAGGCAGTATGCTTCGCTACCACCTACCTACCTAGGTACTTTAGTAGTACCTACGGGTCGGATGGGGAGAGGCGAACGTCTAACACTTGAAGACGTAATCCTGGCTGTCTGCCTACCAAAGAAATACCCATGCCCCATAAACGCTATCGCTATTGCGCCTCCCCAATTGCAACAGCACCTGACACTCCCCGCCGAGTATCCGTAAAGAGGCAGCCTTTCTCCATCCCCTCCGCCCCCTTCAAACATCAGTCCCTTATTTCAGGTGCCTGATTACCCAGAGAACAGTCTGAGAGGGTCGCTGCAGAAAGCTTGAAATTTTGATTTTCCTCCAACAATCTCACTCCCGCATCTACATAACAGTCAGTAATCAACCCCGCGTCAATCCCGACTCGACGGTTCTCGCTACATCAAGACACTGCGCGTGCAGACGGTGAACCAGCGTTACCAGCGTCTATTCCTTCGCTCTCAGTTTCCAACCTCGCAGCACTACATATGGCCGACGACTTCGCTCCCCCGGCGGGCCCCCCGCCTCCCAAAGCCCCTGAGGTCCCTCCCGGCTGGGCTGCCCGCTGGAATGACCAGTACAAAGAATGGTGAGCTCTCGTAGCCTCCCCGTCTACTCACCGCGGATCGCAACGCTGACTCTGCCTTCAGGTTCTACGTAAACCTCCACACTAAGCAGTCTCAATGGGATAAGCCGACCGAACCCGCGTTGCCTCCTCCCCCGCCCGCGGCAGACGCCCACCCAGGCGGTCCTCCCCCCGGCTACGCCCCGCGCCCTGGTGACTCGACGCCGCCCGTGGACCAAAAGGTCAACCCATACGACCAGAAGCAAAACCCCTACGAGGATCAGTCCTCAGCGCCCCAGCCCTACGGCGCTAGCAGCTCCAACGCCATAAGTGAGGACGAGCGTCTCGCCCGCCAGCTCCAGGCCGAGGAGGAGGCCCGCGCCCGCGGCGCCAACTCGAACTCTCCGATGCCCCCTGGCTATAACCCACAGCAGCAGCAGCAATCCCAGAGCCCCTTCCCCGATCAGCTTCCGCCCCGCGCGCAGGATACGAGGGGCAAGAGCGGCGGCGGCGGCTTCCTCGGCAAGCTGCTCGGCAAGTCTAAGACGGGCAGCCAAGGGCAGCCGCAGTACGGCGGATATCCTCCCCAACAGCAACAATACGGTGGCTACCCGCCTCAGCAACAATACGGTGGCTACCCGCCCCAGCAGCAGTACGGTGGCTACCCTCCCCAGCAGGGCTACGGGGGCTACCCTCCCCAGCAAGGTTACGGGGGCTACCCCCCGCAGCAGGGCTACGGCCCACCCGGGGGCTACGGCATGCAGGGCGGTGGCGGCCGGAAACCCGGCGGCGGCGGCGGCATGGGCATGGCGGGCGGACTAGCGCTCGGTGCCGGTGCCGGTCTGCTCGGTGGCGCACTGCTCGCGGACCACATCAACGACGAGCAGCAGGAGGCGTACGCTGACGGCTACAGTAAGTTTAGGCTGCCACTTTCCGACCTTGACTCGCACGGATACTGACGGTGTGGTGCTACAGATGACGGCCAGGACGGCGATGACTTTGGCGGTGGAGACGGCGACTTCTAAGCAGTCGGGGTTTGGCCGAGCCGGTGTGTCTCTTGAAACGAAACATCTCGAACGGGTCATGAATTGAAGATTTGGAATGGGCGAGCAGACGATGTGAAACTTGTCCATAATGTGTTACCTTTTTTTGCCCCCTCCCCACGAATGGTAGAAAAGACAGCAGGCCACACTTGACCTCTTTGATCGTTGCGTACTAGTCCCGAACTCTCTGCTATCTTAAATGCCCTCACGAGGTGTTGCTTTTCCACAAAGTTACCTTTGAAAGAGAGCCGTCGAATCTGCCCTTCGAGTACGCACGTCACAAGCGCCGCGCGTGCTTTTGCATAAGCAACTGCATACTTGGACGGTGCCGCCTTGGGAACGCCAGGCAAACGCTTCATGTGGGCGCTAGTGAGGAGACAAGTCTCGTAGGAACGCTGTGGGATGTGCACTCACGCCAGCTCGCCCTCCCCCTATTCATTCATAAAGGTATACATCCGGATCAGAGGCAGCCATAGCTAACGGACACCTAGTCCCATAACATAGGTAGTCTTGCAGATTGCCTGAATAGCCGCATGCGTGGATCCGAATTGTAAACTACGTTCCGAGGGTGATGAAACGGGCCCGTACCTGTGGAACCAGCTCGATCCGGGGCATAGGAGTCCAGGCTAGCAAACTCATCTACGATATGCTGTACCCGGCATTGAAGGCCTCCCGAATCCGCCGTCGTAACTGTGAAGCTTCTGGCGAATACATCTTGATTCATCCAACAGCCCCATCGGTCTTGCCTGTCCCTGGTCCGATACACAACTTGCGGTTGACCATTAAGGTGCCTAGATATGAATGTAGGAAAGTTGTGCACTTACATCGTGGCGCATTAGCCCCGAACTCGAGGCTATCGTAAATGAAGGGCCTTGCTTTGCCGCAATGTTACCTTTGAAAAGGGGTCGTCAAATCAGTCCTTCAAGTACGCACGTCACAGACGCGGCATGTCGTAGGTGAGGCACGGTCGGCCATTAAAGGTATCTGGATATAAATATAGGGAATATCCGCGCCACTCGTTTGCCGTCCCCTGGGAACTGCAACGTACCCGGTTACTGTCCGGTCCGACGTTCAGGAGCGCCCGCCCCTCTTTCTTTTTGTTTGGCTTCAATCTTACGTGAACCACACCCTGCAGCAGCCCAGCTCCCTTGCTCACCTCCGCACGCCCTTCTCCTTCTTTCCGCCGCCGCTGCCGCCGCCGTTTGAGGACCCGGAACCCGACGACTCTTCCTTCTTACCGGTGCCCGCCAAGAAGGCGGCCATATCAAAGTTACCCATAGGGCTGGCGCCGGCATCGCCGCCGCCGCCGCCGAGAATACTGTTCATGGGGTTGCTCTTCTGGCGCTCCTCGAACTCGGCGCGCATTTCGGGGTCCACTGCGAGGTAGTATATCAGCAACTGTTCAGGGATTTGGGACGGGGAAGAATTGGAAGAGTTGGCAGGTGGGGCAGAGAGGAGCGGGAAGCGGGAAGAGGTGTTGTTAACGTACTGTTATCGACGAGGTAGGGCATGCCGAGGAAGATACCCATGCTGACGAGACCGAGGAGGATCATCGGGTTCTTGAGGATGGCGAGCACCGAGACTGCATCGCAGGAGTGTTAGCATTCTTTCCTCAACGCTAGGAAGCTTCCAAAGCGGTGCTACGCATCTCGTAATAGCGCCATCGAGCCCTCGAAACTGAGCACGACAATGTCAGGGAAAGGGGGACCTACACTTGCTCCTCTCCATGAAGTAGTTCTTTCCACCCAGGACCCGCACTTCGAAGCCCTTGCCGCCGCCCTCGAAGTCCTTGGCCGTGTACACCTCGCCGCGGTTGTCCCAGTCGTTGCCGCGGTACGTCTCCCACGCCGACAGGCTGCCGTCAGCGGCGACGTCTAGGCGTAAGGGAGCGAAGGCGTGCGTCACGCAGTGGATGTCGACCAAGTACGACCCGGGCGCGGTGACGTTGGTAAAGACAAAGGTGTTCTTGACCGACAGCGGGGCGGAGAAGGAGGCGCCCAGTGCCGAGAGGGTCGCGCGCGTCGAGGGCGGAAGGGTGTAGGGATTCGGCAGGGCCGGGGAGGAGGGCACCGAGAGGGTGATGGAGGCTGCGAGGGCGAGGGAGGACGCGGTGCAGGCCGCAAGGGCGGCGAGGGACGCGAGGAGGCGCATCGTTCTCGGTGGCGGTCTGTCTGCGGTTACAGGATTTCGAAGTCTACGGTTCGGTTTCGGTGGGATTCCCCGGGAGCAGGTTCGAAGATTCAAATACCAATGCTCGAGTAAGATACGGGCGGAGGAAAAGGGGGGGAGAAGGGGTGGGTAGGGGAAGCTCGGACCGAAGAGGGTTCGATTTGTGGTGGATATGGAGGTATAGATGAATGGCGGCGTGGGATGGAGCTTGGATCTGGTGAGAGTAACGGCCGCACAGGTTGGTGCAACATGCAAGTATGCTTCTGGTGTTGGGGCCCGCTGCCAGCCGACCAATCAGCTCCGGCGGGCGGACTATTGTCATCTGCCGCGCGCCGGCGAGCGACCCTCCTCGCCCCTCCCTGCCCACCGAACCCCATTCCAGAGCTGTCAAGTTCCAAACTAACAACAGCGGTCCCGGTGCAACGCTGAACAACGAACTTGTTTGCACCACAAGCTCTAGCACGTTTTCGAGAGCGGGCGGCTAGCAGTGACCAAACCGCCCACTAGGAAGTTGTGGCGTCGGCACGTTTTCATTTCTTCACGTGCCTTGTGAGTTGCCACAGGCAGCCGATCGCCAGTCTCATTGGGGAGATCAGGAGGGAGGGGCTCGGGGGCATCACATTTCTTCTTACCTTTCCTTGCTTCCGTGCTCGCACTCTGATGTTGGTATGAGGGGACGCTGGTATGGCGACAGCGAGCGGGCCCAAAGAAGCTTGTTTCAAGCAGTTGCCCTGGATCGTCATGGTTTCGATCGATACATCACATTAAACGAGGAATGGCAAGGGATGCGGAGCGGCATTCACTTGTTGCTCCTCCTCCCCTTCCGCTCCGGTAATATTCAGTAACATACGATTCGGAAGACAGATCAATGTTGCTTTTTCTACGGGTATCCGTTCCCTCATACAGGAAAAAAAGAAACCAATCCAGATGCATATACAAAACCACGTGCGCGCACACCATGCTTTTACCAGAAAGGTATTCAAGGGGGTATCCAACCAGGTCCGGGCAAAGCGTAAAGCAAGTGCGGTCGCTTTCCCCCCATTATCTCGTCTAGTCTAACTTACGGCACCAGCGGCGCATCCTCCTGCTTGGTCTCCGCCGCGGAGGTGGCCTTGCCGTTGGTCTTGGCGGAAGCGGCGTTCTTGAAGGATTGCTCAAAATCGGCGATGATGTCGTCAATGTGTTCTGTACCGACCGAAATACGGATGAGGTCCTGTTATGGGGTCCCTTGTCAGTCACAGTCCCTGGTGTTGCAACATGTTTCTCTTTCGAAAAGAGATGGGGGTTGAGATGACTCACCTCGCTGACACCGGAGCTCTTCTTCTCCTCGTCGGACAGCTGCTCGTGGGTCGTGGACCAGGGGCTGTCAGTGTTAGCGATGTACACCACCCACAAGAAAAGAGAGGGGGAGAGAGGGGGAGAGAGGGGGAGAGAGAGAGGGAGAGAGAAAGAGCAAACGTTTCCGGGGTTCCACTCACTGGATGGCCAAGGTCTTGGAGTCGCCAACGTTGGCGAGGTTGGAGATGAGCTTGAAGCCGTCGACGATCTGGCTGCCGGCGGCGCCGCCGCCCTTGACACCGAAGCTGAGGACACCGCCGAAGCCGCGCTTGAGGTATTTCTTGGCCGTTTCGTGGTACGGGTGGCTCTCGAGGCCGGGGTACGAGACCCAGCTGACGTAGTCGTTGGCCTCGAGCCACTTAGCGAGGGCGAGGGCGTTCTGCGCGTGGCGCTCAGCGCGGAGGGAGAGCGTTTCGATGCCGATGATGAGCTGTTGGGCGGCGAAGGGGTTCAGCGAGGCACCGAGGTCGCGTAGGATCTCGACGCGCGCACGGATGATGAAGGTGATGGGGCCGAACGTCTCCCAGAATTTGAGGCCATGGTAGCCGTCGCTGGGCTCCGTCATCTGCGGGAAGCGGCCGTTGTCCCACTTGAACTTACCGCTGTCGACGATGACGCCGCCGATGGTGGTGCCGTGGCCACCGATCCATTTGGTCGCCGAGTGAACGACGATGTCGGCGCCGTGCTCGATCGGGCGGATGAAGTAGCCGCCGGCGCCAAAGGTGTTATCAACCTGCGGACGGCGTGTTAGTCACCCACATCTCTACCTCTCTCTCCCTCTCACTTGAATATACGCAACGAGCAGGGCAGGCTGCGACTCACAATGACGGGAACACCCTTCTCGTGGGCGACCTTGGCGATGGCCTCGAGGTCGGGCACGTTATACTTGGGGTTTCCGATGCTCTCGACGTAGACGGCCTTGGTCTTGTCGTCGATGGCGTTGGCAATGTCCTCGACGCGGTCGCCGTCGACGAATTTGGTGGTGATGCCGAGGCGCGGCAGGAACACCTTGAACTGGTTGTAGGTACCGCCGTACAGCAACGAGGTCGACACAATATTGTCACCGGCATGGGCGAGGGCACTGATAGCGATGAACTGGGCGGCCTGGCCGGACGAGGTGGCCAGCGCGGCCACACCTCCCTCGAGCGCGGCGATGCGCTTCTCAAAGACGTCGACCGTGGGCTGCAGAGAGGTGTGTCAACGGGCGTCCTTGCTTTCTTGTTACACGTGCAGAATAGGATTGGGACGAGAGGCACATACGTTCATGATACGGCTGTAGATGTTACCAAACTCCTTGAGGCCGAAGAGCCTCGCGCCGTGGGCCGAGTCATTGAAGGTGAAACTCTACATGTTGGGAGTTGCTGTCAGTTACTGCCTCCCTTTCTGCTCAAAATGCGCTGAACATCACGAACCGTGGTGGCGTAGATGGGAACAGCGCGCGAGTTGGTGGCTGGGTCGGGCTCCTGGCTGCGTCACGCAAGTCTTGTCAGTCTCGACGGCTTCAAAGCTCAAGATCCCCTCCCCACGAAGACCTGTTTGGGTTGAGTGATGTGTGAACGTACCCCGCATGGAGCTGTAGCGTCTCAAAGTTCTTGCTCAGTTCTTCGGCCATTGTGACTTTCTGGTTCGCTGTAGCAGGGAGAGATGAAAGGGTATCAATGAGGAGAGGCAGATGAGAGAAAATTTCTCGGCGAAGGACGGACAGCCAGGGAGGGGAAGGGGGGAAAGCTTCCTTCTGGGATCGTGTGACGGTAAGAGCAGATCGACGCGCTTAAAGACAAACGAGGGCCGGTGACCGGAGACGGAGTCAGACGAAGAGCGGAGGGCACAATCAGACGAAGAAGGGCGGCAGAGAGACGGGGAGGATTCGGATCAGCTACGATGATGCCATTGAGGGGACATGACACCATCGACCGACCTTTCCATATGATTGCATCGTTCGTCTTCCTTTGACAAATGGATCCAGCGATGTGCTGATAATAGTTCATGTATCCCTTCCCCATTGGGAGATACCCCTCGTAAAAACCCCTCCATCTGCCCTTAGCTCGCTCATGACAGACGGGGGTCCAACAGTGGGGGGAGGGTTCCAATGGCTTGGTCTACCGTACTTAGCATGGTGCGAACTGGCTGGCCAGGCATTGCGACAGCGAGATGAAGCTAACGTAGGTTTGGTGGTGTTGCTGGGCGCGCGAAGAGAGCGCCGATTCAGGCATATGATGTGGGGTTTGGCCAGAGCACGCAATCGACGTTGAAATGTCACTTTGCGGGGCAGAGCAAGGGGGTCATGTTAGCGCCATTGGGGAACATGATACCTACAAGTTCTCAACCCCTACCCGTGTGTTTGGCTCGGCCTGGCGTTCCGCCGGTTATAAACAAGAACACCGAGTGCCTGGAGGGTCTTGTGTTCCTTACAGAGGCAGCTTTTTCTCGGAATGCTTGCCGCTTGCATTTTTGTGCGAGGTAAGCCTGCTTGCTGTAGGGGACATCAGGGTCGCCATCTGATTGTTTGTTGGTGGCTGGACATCCGGTGTAGTTGTCAATAAGGGGATCGGGCTTCGACGGTGGGTCCGATAACCTCCACCGGGCCCTACGGCTGCGATGCCGCAGCGGTTGTCGGTCGGGAGACATGAACTGTGGACGAAGCAGCAGCTCGTGTCCCGCAGCGGCTGTCGCTCGATCTTGAGAGTGGGGACTTGTACGATCTGTGCTCAGCGGCCCAAGGCGGAAATTGCAAAAGCGATGAGCTTCAGGCACGTCTGGCTGGACCTGAGAAGCTTGCTCGGGCGGCATATGGTTTGTTCCTCGGATCTTTCCTTCATTATGCACATATTCAGATAAGTATCCGTACACCAAACTAACAAGGTACAGTCATGTGTTTCTCCGGGAAACGGGAATCCAGCACTCCACCATTGCACCACGAATGGGCCCATGTGTACAGCGGCAACTCGGCCAACCGAGGAAAAGATGTCGTAATAGTCGCTGAGCTCTTTTGACAACCTTCTGTCTGCTTGATTTAGTTTCATTGCTGCGCTATTGCGTTCCTGACATCTGCCTGACTAGACGAAGGTTATCATACCTATGAGTTACCTTGCGTATCAATGATGAGCTTGGGTGTTTCATTGGCATCCTCCTTTTTTTTCTAGCTGATGACAGTACCATGAAAAAGAATATCTGACGGTGAAGAAGCGGCGCAGAAACTTGTTCAACTACTGTCACCATAGGTACGTACTGATGTAAATATCGCCGAGTCCGTCAAGCCACCATCCGCTCAAGCCCTATTCTGACCAGACCAGGTACTCTACGGAAACAACTTGGTATCTCTATATATACAGGTCTACTGTGTCTCAGATGATCTCCTGAGAAAAGGCCGTAATCAATTCATGTCCTCGATGCTCTCGATCTCGTGATCGTTTAACAATAGTATCGAATGATCTGATTCCATATCCCCGCACGCTTCCAAGAAATACTCGCCACTTCTCAGTCCTGCCTCTATGTCCTCCTCATGGTGAGCCACGCTTGTTCCTGTAGCCCACTGATGCCCCACACTCAATGAGGGTTTTGACCACCGCCAAATGACCACTTACAGCAACCTGTGTAAGGGGAGTCTCGCCAACATCGTTTTCGGTCTTAACTGACGCTCCGTTGGCGCAGAGAGTATTTACCACGGTTTTATAACCAAAAGCCGCTGCCACAAATAATGGAGTGGACAACCGATGGCTCTTGATATTGACTTCGGCTCCTGCATTGATAAACGCTCGAATAGTCGTATCATATCCTCTTCTTCCTGGAGTCCGGAAAGGACAGCAAAGTGGAATTATCTGCGTCTGAGTGGTCGTTTTGCAAACAGTATCCACTGGATACACATCAGGAGGTCATCCATGTTGTTGTTGTCCCGCAGTAAGATATCTTTGAATAGCTCACTCAGCTTGCTAGGGATCTGTCGTAGCCGCTTCTCCATCGTAAACAGACGGCCATCTCGAATCTCCTTGTTGAGGATACAGAACGACCCAGATAAAGACACCATCAGCCTTCTCCAGGATTCGGTCTTGGATCTTCTTGGTGTAATTCTCCGAACCTACCCTTCTAAGGTAGCTCCGGACATATCTTTCCAAGTCTTCTTTGTGGCCTAACTGGTCCTCGACAGCCAACTCGAGACCATTCTTGACTTGTATATAAGGATAATGGCGATTGGAGAAACATATCCGGATCTGATGGACGTATACCACGAGTCGAGTTGTTCAAATCTCAGCAGCTCCGACAAATGCGCTCTGCGATCTTGTAGCTTCTGTTGCACTGCGAAAGTATCAGCCCCGCCTGTTGCTCGGACCTAATGATATACTCACTCTTACATGTTGTTGGTTCCCGCACGTCAGCGGCTAGTATTGCCTCGACCATGCTTGGAGCCATGGTGGAGAGCAGCTCTTTCGTGTAGGCTGCTGCTGTTGCCGCTGCGTATCTTTGCCACTGCTTATTCTTGTGGGAATCTGCGTAATCGCAGATTCCTCGGACCGGCATGAAGGGGAACTGATCTACCAGCCCGGCTGCCTCCATCTCGAAGCAAATAACACCAAGCTCCTTCGCTAGTTTTCTCGGGTCCTGCCGTCCTTCACGACCTGGTTCCCGGAGGCGACCCTACCGTAGTGGATGCGTGGGAGGTTATTCTGTCGCTGGAGCCGGGGCTGCACTTCCAGCGGGTCGCAATGTTTGCAGTCTGCTAATTTTCCATGGTCGTACGTGGAGTTAAACAGTCGATCTTCACAGTGACTTGGATACGCATATTCTTGGGCCATCCTGGGGTGGTGGTGGAACATCTCTTCAAGTATCGAAGGCACGCCACTGGGAATGGACTCGTGCAATGCCCGCAACTTCGCGACAGCGTTCAAAAGATGATGCGGGGCCACCTTCGGTATTGCAGTCCGCTGAACACGCTCGCCCGGTAAGATCTTGCCCAAGTCGTACTGTATCACCGTGGTGCTGACCACAACGTCGCCTAGCCGGATGTCGAAGCCGTCGCCAGGAACCCCGCCGCCGATGCCGACCATCAACCCCACGCGGATCGAGGGGAAGCTCGAACGCATGTTGCTTGCCACGATCGCCGCGTTATTCGTGCCATACTGGCCCAAGGGTAAGCACGCCATGGCGACGTTGTGCCCAACGATGTTGCCCAGGATGTATTCGTTGGGGTCGTTGGCTATCTTGAACAGATCTCTGTGCTGGCGATCGAGAATGGCACGACTTGCAGCCAGCTCACTGTGAAGCGCACAGATCCATCCCACTGTATAATCGACGTGACGGCGTTCTCGGTCATCGCCGTTACAATCCAGCAGCGTTTTCGCTCGTTTCGCAATGTCGGGTCGAGGAGAATCGTCACTGTATCGGCTGTGGCCTCTTTTGCGGCCAGACGTTACCATGCTGGGAACATCGTTCGACATATCGACATTGCAGGGGTTCGTGGGACGTGTATATCTGTCATCCGCGCAGTGGTTGCAATTCGAGAACTATTCGAAGAATCCGCAGGCTTGATCATTTCAGCCCTGAGCAAGAATGATACCAAAAAAAGTGGCCAAACGAGTGCGCCAAAGACTCTGCCTTGCAAGGCTTTGGTTTGGCAATCCAGCAAGGGTGGTTCGATGAGGCTGCCAGAACCCTGGACACCTGCAGTAATTGGTTGGTCACTGGCGCTCCCGCTGCCGCCGTGAGTTTGGCGCCGATGCAGGCTGCGCCGCGACTGTACATCTTGAAGCATCAGAAGTCGGGTTCCCGCATTCGGCGCAGGGTCCGGGGAAAAGGCATCGTGGGGGTTGACTGGAGTGAACCTGTAGAAACATTTGAAGAAATGTTGCAGAAACAAACACAACTCGGCTTCTGGTTGCCAAAAGCCGTAAGGCAGTCGCCCGACAAACCTCATATATAAGCCGACACTGACTAACACGCCGAAGATTGGAATGGACCAAGGACCAAGAGATTGGGGAAAAAAAGACTACAGAGCCGAGGCCTGCAGAACAGTAATAATACGGATGGCATCTACGTCCTGTTGAAGCAACCCAACCCAAAACCCGATCGTATTCGAACAATACGTAATTCCTAATAATCCTGTGTCAACCATGTGACAGGCCAATATACGACATAACCGCCCTACTACGGAGGGGCCTCGACCTGTTGGGCCCCCCTTTTTTTCGCTCCTAGATTTCGTTGTGAACCAGTCATCTAGACAAGGTTCACGTCACTAAAGCCCGGGCCATAGATGCGCCTCTGATCGATTTCCCAGAGTTTCTTTCCGTCGTTCTTGCGGTCCCAGGACGGCATCCGTTTGGTCCGGATGAGCTCGACAGAAGCCTCCCGCCGTCGCTCCTCGAGAGTGGCGTGGAAGGACTTGAAGGAGTCAACGTGGGTAATTACGCGGACTCCTTCATCTGAGGAGGGGGGCCACCGGCGGTGGGCTGGCGGAACCCCGTCTTGAAAACGTCCTTGGCCATGAGCAGCGTGGTTCCAGACCAGAGTACGAACTGGAATGCCGCGAAGACAGTGTCGGCGCGGGCGGCACCGCATACGGAGCCGCGGCAGAAGAGGAGCTTGCTGAGGAAGACGGCAAGGGCGACGAAACCGGAGAAGTAGAAGAGTACGTTGAGCGCCTCGAAGCCAACGGCGGCCCAGGGGTGGGAGGCTGTGTTTGGTCAGTCAACCGTCTACGGTCTCACTCTCTTTCCAAAGCCAGGAAAAGGAAGACTCACCTCTGGGAGCAAACCTGGGGACCACCTCGAGGTAGGCGATGGAGATGAAAGAAAATAGGGGAGTGAAGATCAGGAAGTTGATCTGAGACGGGGACGACGTCATGGTATCCATGTTGTACCAGTTGGCGACTGCAAAGCACACCGCAGTCAGTTCATGATCAAACTTTCACCATGAAAGCCAGTCACCGTGGTAGACCGGCTCCCCATAACAGGTTTCCCATCACGTACCAAAGGCCGAGAGACCGAGGACCACCAACGCCAGAACACCCTGGACGATTCGAAGAGGAAGCATAAGACCCATCTTGTCGGTGGTTTTCGTTATCGTTTCGTTGATAAACTCGTAAAGGCTTCGTCAAGGTAAGAGGGAACAGGAGAGTCGGGAATGAAATAGAGAATAGTAGTAGTAGGATAAATATAAATCTAAGCTGGCCCCCAGTGCGCTGTTTGAAGAAGTGAAGAATAAAGGTTGACAAGAGAGAGAGAACATGTGGAAACGGTCAGGCGGGAGAAGGACCAAGAAAAGGGCAACGCAAGCATGAAAAGAGGGGAAATTCTTGATGCTTTTGTATGGATGGACAGTCCCATCTTCTCGATGTGTCCCTGCCCGAGTGTTTGAAAGGCGGAACATGTAGGTACCTGCCGGTAGGTCATGGCATTTGGCCCATCACTCGGCGCGCTCACCCTCCAAGGGTCTGTCTGTGGAATGCACGGCCTGATACCTCTGAAATGCATCTGAAACTGGCCTCCCTGGGGCAGTCGCCATGCACGCCGTCCAGATGGGGAAAAGATGGTGTGTAGCAAGGCCCATTGAGCCAATCCTAGCGGTCGGCATCGATAGAGCCTCCTTTTCATGCGGGACCAAGGCTTGGCGCTGGTAGGTTACGCGCAGCCAGAACAAAATCGGGGGATGGGCCCTGTTGGTTTCCTGGGAGGTTTGGCGAGAGGGAGTCTTGATTGGCCTCGTGGCAGGCTCACATGGAAGGGTAGGAACGGGGGGTTTCTAATCGACAAAGATGCTCGCATCTGTCGGACGACAAGGCTTCGGTACTATCCCATTGAGTGCGAAGTGACCTCACAAAACCTCAGACCAATAAGACTACAGCAATCCAGGCCAACTATCCAATAGCTGTTGGTAATCATTTGCAGAGACCCATATTTGGGTTATGTGAGGTCACTTCGCACTCAATGGGATAGCCGACCGGGGTGAATCAGCGACACGGCGCAAGCGCGCGGCGATTTCTTTTTGGTTTTTTCTTTCTTTTCTTTTCTGTTTGTTTTCAAATGCAGGCGAGTAAGAGGCAGTCATACCTACATAGTGTACATACTACACACACACGCAAGGTACCTAGGTACCTAGGTACTTACTTACCTACCGGGTACTATTAGAGCATACGAATACCAACCGGTATGTAGACGGATGGCAGATATGCAGGAACAGCGATATTGGGGCGAACCGATTCGACGGCCCGGATTAACCTACGTTGCATTGCACCTGCTTGCTGCCATTAGCTGCCGAAAGTACCGGTACGTGCTCGCCTCAATCGTCTTTACACGAGGGAGAGGTGTGTAGGCTAGGTTTGGAAAGATTTGAGGCGAAGGGCCGAAGCGGGGATCTTCAGACCGAGAGACACGGCGAGATGACAGACGGAGCGGCAAGCGAGGTCCGCAAATGGGCTCTGAGGGTTTGAGACCGGAGAACAGCGAGTCTCGAGATGCCAAGCATCGTTCGCCCTCCGACGCCAAGCCTGCATTTTCGACAGCGGCGACAACGACTACGACTACGACAACAACAAGAGCCCCTGCGCAATCTCGTGTTGTGGGCGTTGAAACAAAACGAGTAGTGACAAGAGGCAGAACGTAGCAGCAAAAAGGGCAAGTCGCGACAACTGAGCGGGTTGCGGTTGCGTGGAACACACTGAACATGGAATAGCGCGGGAGAAGGCGATTAGAGGGGAGCAGAGACCAAAAAAGCGAAATCCTATATGTGGTACGGACTGCAATGTACGACCTAGTACCGGCATGGTGGACAGGAGATGGTGAGAGAGAAGAAGAAGAGGAAATGTCCGAACGTCCGATGTTTCGATTCACGCTTCGGCGGGCAAGTTGTGGGCTGCTAGTAGCTACCCAGGTAGGTAGTAGGTATTTGTACCCGAGTAATACTAGTTTAAGTGGGGCCGGCGTAGCTATCAAACCTTGTCGCGTCTCGCCTTGGGTAACCAGGGTGGATACGCCAAGCCAAGAATAGGACCAGTAGAAGAGAAAGAGGGAAGAGAGAGAGAGAGATTGTGATGCAATTCCTCGCTCAGCTTACACTAGAAGGGCGAATGGCCCATTATTGCCTCCTCCTCCTCCTCCTCCTCCTCCTCCTCCTCCTCCTCCTCCTCCTCCACAGAAAGAGAGAGAGAATAAAGTCGGCAGCGGAGGTTGCAACGTCAAGGGTGCCGCCCGAGTTTCCTCGCGGGATACTCGAAACAGGCTTTGCAGCGATGGCAAGGCGACGCGGCGCATGCGCGGCTGGAGAGGAACCTCCAAGCTCCCATGGTTTCGTTGAATCGCAACGCGCCGTACCCTACCCTCGCAAGAAAACTGGGGGCGGCCGCCGGCCGTCCACTTCCTGTTGGCTGTTCTTAAAAAAGCTATGAGACGCCGCACAACCGACTCCCAGACTCAGTCCGATACTTGAGGTGCCAAGTTGCCAAGAAATCTCCTTCGGTAGACCCTTCACCTCGGCGGCCTGCCTGGTCTCCTTCCCGCCCTGCTGACACATACCTCCAGTACGTGGTAGGTATCCGTACCTAGTTGTAGGTAGATGCAGGCCTCCCTCCCCCATCCGTCTGTGTGTTTCACCACTCGTTGCTCGCTGTGACAGCGGTCCTCGATGCCGGCTTGGCCACCTCCGGAACTACTACTCTGCCAAAAGCTTCGCCTCGCCAAGACGTCTTGTCAGAAAGGCTTGGGACTCCTGGGCATCTCATGCCCTTTCTCAAGCTTTCTGTCCATCGGCCGGCCACCCCTGATGTCGATTCCCCCTACGGATATAATACTGGCATCTCTGATCGGGTGCACGAGAAGGTCTTGGCCACCACCGGAACTAGACCCATTCCTGTCCTCCGTGGGACCTCGACGAAGCGCTGTGGGGAGGGGTTCTGTATTCCTCGTCTTGTCGCTGCCTTTTCATGCAACGGCGGCTATGGTGCCTGCATCAGACACGCACAGAGAGAGACAGGCATATGGACAGAGAGATCGAGTCGGAGCTGTCCCATACAGATTGAGATGGTGTTCCTTGTTCTCGCAAAACAGAAAGAGGATTACATTTCCCCACCCCGGAGAAGATCCGATACCTATTAATTCCGTATCATCTCATGTCGCCTCACTTGCCGCCTCGTTTCAACCTGACTGTCTGCCTAGTGACATAACATCATACGCGAAGAAACAAAAAAGCTTCGGCCGGTCTGCCATCCCGGGCCTGCCCCTCCGGTTGAAAAAAAGGATTCGAAGCGACACCAGCCCGTCGAGGCCACGCTTTTTGCTAATAAGCAGCGTCCCCCTCTTTCTTTTTTTTTGCCAAGGGGGCCTGACTCTCCTGAGTGTTCGGTGCTCTCGAGACGACATTCTAGAAAATGAACAACTGGCCCAGGCTAGGTCATCCCGAATGGCCCTCACGAGTCATCCCAGGGCCCTTTTTCATGCCTGCGCACGCAGAGTCGTGCCCAGGCATACTTCCTGATCAGACGCGACTCAAGACACAGACGCTTGTTTTGTGTTTGTTCCGTTCCACCATCGCCGTTTCCTGTCTCACCGTCTACCTATCACATTGGGTCCGTCAAAGCTGTCGTGGCCCACACACAGTTGGGATCTGTCAACGACTTATCGCCCGGTTGTATCCGTACAAGAAGCCTAAAAATCACCGGTCAAGCGGGGAGCTCCACCGGCCAACTATAGTAACCCGGCCACCCGCTCGATCTATAAGCTGCGTCGCCTAGCTTTCGAACCATCTTGATATGCCGGCTTGCTCGTCGCCCTTGGGGATATCTCATCTTCTGGGCCGAGCTATCCATGTCTTTTCTCTGGATGAACGCAAATTCCAGCCTCCAAGAGTTGGAAATAGGCCAAGGTAGTTAATGACGCTCAGTCAGCTCTTCTACTGGTGTCATCAGATCCAAGCCACCAACATGGAGTCCGACAGAATGAGCCCCAGATGAGATGAGAGAAAGTCTCTAGCAAACCGCCTATAGAAAGAAGAAGTGCAGACCCGTGACCAACCCAATGTTAGTAAGCGCTACTGACTTTACTGCCATCGCAATGTGTATTCATTGTAGACACTCTTTCTTGGAAGACCGGCGTTAGGGTAGGTAGGTGGCTTCTTCGGCCCATTCCGCGTTACGGTGTCCAATAACCCCCGCTCTGCGCCCGGACGCGAGGATCCAACATCTGGCATGTGACACAGCTTCCACCGTCTGCCACATGGTTAGTCGGTGTACGGAGTATGTCCTTTAACTAACGACATGCCTAGCGTAAGCAAGTCAAGGCCCCTCAGTGAGCACATAGAACAGAACCTTCACTGAGGAAAACCAACGACAAGGATGGACATGGGAATCGTCAGGGTTTCCGCTTCGAACATGGAAGTCGAGCAATGCCCTATTCGCATTTGGCCTTGCCTACACAGTACACTACATACACTCACTACCTAGATACTCAGCAGTGGTCTGTTTGGCTGTGATGCGCCTGTCAAGTTATATTTGATTGACGAATAGCACCGTTTGCTTACTAGCCACCACGGATACCTCTCTTATGCACATCCGACCGCGGGGATGGTGTGATGGGTGGCTCCAAGCCGTGATGATATTGCATCTAGGTACAAGAAGTCATCAATCAGTTATCGATAACGTCCAAATCCCCAACTCACATGTGGGAATCTTGTTCAGAGTCAAGTGTCGCAGCGGGAGCCGTCTCATATTGTCAGAGTCTCGACAGTAACCCCTCACATACTGCCAGAGTCTCAACAGTAAGCTAATGTACATAGTGCATGCACGCAACACCCTCCACGTGGACACTTTGCAGTGAGTTTATTGACGGTGGTCCACGGGGCAGCTTTCCCCATTCTTTGGAATCTCCGACCCAGAAACCCCCAGCTTTCAGCCCCCCTTTCCTCCGCTGCTAGCCTCCCCAGCAACCCCGCAAGCCACTGCATTCAATGCCCCTTGACAAGCCGGTTAGGACCTGCCACAGCCTATCAGGGCCCCCCAAATTACTGTAGCGCTGTCACCATCTGGGGTTACCGAGGGCTTCTGGTGGAACCTTGGCCGCTCTGCACAGCTGTGCCTCGGTCCATGCTCCTCACGGCCTCGCTCATTGGATTGCCCCCCCCCCCCCCCCCCCCCATTCCCCCCATTTACACCTTTTACGGGGATATTCGGTTCTCCAGCTCCTTACCTTCCTCAATGTGTACTCCGAGTCTCCGACTACCAATTCTTGAACAAGAAAGCCTCTCCCTCCCCCTCTCAACCTTTTGATTCTTCTATTTTTTGATTTTCGTTCCGACCTCTACACCCCCATCATCTATTTTTTCCCCATCCAGGATATCCTCCATACATCCAATTCCTGGGTTTCCAGGGTCGATCTAGTCTTTCGCTACAGCGTCCCTTTGCGCTGCCACTCCCCCTCCAACGAATCGGCGGCGGCATCTCAGTAGATCGACGTCAGCCAACAATCCTCTGCACTTCCGGCCGCCAATAACCCCCCTCACTAAAGTCCACTGCCGGTCGCGGATATGGCTCCCTCAAAAGACGTCGCCGCATACATACAGGAGCTGGCCACCCCGCCGCCTCCAGGTTCCCCTTACGGCCTGCCAGTCCCCGGTTCTGAGAAGGAGGGTCGCAGCGCAATCTACCGTCATTGGCGCTTCCGCGACGGTCCTCTGCTGTCCACACTTGATTCCGCTACCCAGACCGTCCACGACCTGTTCGAAGAGGCTGCCAAGAAGCGCCCCAGCGCGAGGTGCCTGGGTCACCGCGCTTGGAACGCTGCCACCAAGGAATGGGACAATAAGTACACCTGGCAGACATATGCCGAGGTTGCCGAGCGCCGTAAGAACTTTGGTGCCGGCCTCGTAGAAGTCCACCAGAACATTGGCATCACCAGCGACCACTACGGCGTTGGCCTGTGGTCTCAGAACCGCCCCGAATGGCACATTGCTGGTACGTTGGCCGATCCGCCCCTGTCAAGAGCGCATACTAACTTGGATTGCGGCCAGATCTCGGCGCTGCGTCCCAGTCCCTCTTTACCGTCTCTCTGTACGAGACCCTCGGCCCGGATACGACTGAGTACATTATTAACCACGCCAACCTGACTTGCGTTGTTACGTCCTTGCCGCACATCCCCGTTCTGCTGAAGCTTTCGCCGAGACTTCCCTCTCTCAAAGTCATTATTTCCCTCGACCCCTTGGACGCTGGCGAGCCTGACGGCTACTCTAAGCTGTCGGTCCTGAATGGTATCGCCGCCCAACATGGTATTCAGATCCACTCCATGGCTGGCATTGAGGAGCTTGGCCTCAAGTCTGCCCGCCCCATGCGCCCCCCTCGTTCAACCGACTGCGTTACAATCAACTACACCTCGGGGACGACAGGAATGCCCAAGGGCGTTGTTCTGACTCACGCCAATGCCGTTGCCGGCATTACAGCCGCGAGATCGACCGGGACAGTCACTTACAAGGATGTTCATATCTCCTACTTGCCTTTGGCTCACATTTACGGGAGAATGGTCGACCAATGTGCCTTGTCCGAGGGTGCTGCTGTTGGCTTCTTCCGTGGTGATATCGTTGGGTTGGTCGACGACATGAAGATTCTCGAGCCGACAGGTCTCATGTCCGTCCCCCGATTGTTTAACCGCTTCAATTCTGCCATCCGGGCCGCCACCATCGACGCCGACGGTATTAAGGGATCCCTGTCCCGTCAGGTTATCAGTACCAAGAAGGCAAACATGAAGCTGCCCGTGGGCAAGGCGAGCAACTCCCACTTTCTGTACGACAGAATCTGGACTCCCAAGGTTCGTGCCGCTGTCGGTCTCAAGAAGGCCCACAGCATGGTGAGTGGCAGCGCTCAGCTGGATCCCGACGTGCACGAGCTCCTCCGAGCCGCCTTTGGCAACCACTTTGTCCAGGGCTATGGCCTGACGGAGACCTACGCCGTCTCGACCGTCCAGTTGAAGGGCGATTTCACCTTGGGCAATATCGGCCCGCCCGCCCCCTGTAACGAGATTTGTCTCGAGTCCGTTCCCGACTTCGACTACCATGTTACCGACAAGCCGTACCCGCGTGGTGAGATCCTTCTTCGCGGTCCTAACATCTTCCAGGAGTATTATAAAAACGAGGAGGAGACGAACAAGGCCCTTGATGCCGACGGCTGGTTCCACACGGGAGATATTGGCGAGGTCGACAACATGGGTCGCTTCAAGATCATCGACCGAAAGAAGAACGTGCTCAAGCTCTCTCAAGGAGAGTACATCTCTCCCGAGCGCATCGAAAACGTCTACCTTGGTAGCACCAATCTGGCGGCCATGGCTTACGTCCATGGCGACCCGGCTCAGTCGTGCCTCGTCGCCATCTTCGGCGTCGACCCCGAGCACTTTGCGCCGTTCGCCAGCAAGGTCTTGAAGAAGAAAATCGACAAGGCCGACCTCGCAGCGATCAAGGCTGCTGGCGCTGACCCCAAGGTCAAGAAGGCCTTCCTTGCGGAGCTCGACAAGATTGGCCGAAGCCACAAGTTCAACAGCTACGAGCGCGTGCGCAATGTCTACCTGACGATTGATCCTTTCACCATCGACAATGAGCTATTGACGCCTACGTAAGTGAAAACGGCTCAGCTATTTATGTAAATTTGCTAACAGGGTGGGAACAGTCTTAAAATGAAGAGACCCCAGGCTGCCAAGGCATTCCGTGCGCAGATCGATAAGATGTACGAGGAGGTCAATGATGCGCCTGTGGCCAAGCCTAAGCTCTAAAAGCGCCCTGCTATGGGTTGGCGTTGGCTGATGTTGTCTCATGTGTGCTGTACCATATGACTTGCTTTATAGGGTTTAAATCAAACGTGTCTGGAAAGAATACTGTTCAATCTCCTCACTAAGGCTCTGGTCGGCTCGAGCCCAAAATTAGCGATTAGTGGCCAGGGGTGACTTTTCGTTACTTGTGCCACACCAACTTTATGCTTGAAGTACCGCTAAAGTGGGTTAGCCCGTAGGCAGCTCACCGCTTGCTGCAATAGTCAGAAGATTTATAAAGTGTATTATTATACAAGTTAAAGGTGAGGGGTTAGGTAGGAAAGATGTTAAAGTCTGTATTTCTTGTTATTAGATTTATAGCTAAAACAACCTATTATTAATACTTACTATAATATTGTTACTTAAAGAGTCTAGTGTTAATACTAGCAATATGTAATAGTTATTACTATTACTATTACTATTACTATTCCTATTAGTAGTACTGCTGCTACTACTACTAGTATTACTACTACTATTATTACTACTACTAATAAGAAAGTAAAAGTATTATACCCCCTTAAGAGTAGTATAGGACTATAGTAATATACTGCTTTTTCTCTAGCTCTACTAGCAGCAGGTTAATAAAAGGGTATTAGTAGGTATAAGAGGGCTAGTTATAAGGTAAGTAATAGTAAATATCCTACTTAAGATAAATAAAGTTAACCTATACTTATTACTACCTACCTTATATATAAAATACTAGCACCTCCTAGGCGCCTTTTAAAAAGTTAAGACCTTTATTTGCTTAGGGGTAGGGTATAATAATAATAGTAGTATTATTACTATATTAAATAAAAGCTAGAAGGCCTTTAAAAGGCGCTTTCCTAACCTTAAATTAATTTATATAAGGGGCTTCCTATTTATAGACAAAATAAGTAACTTATAGCTAGAGGAGGTAGTAACTAGGCAGTATATTATAAAGGCTTATAAGGTAAATAGTTAGCAGGAGGTAAATAAAGAAGAGGAAGATACTAAAGATAAATAGTTAGTAGTTAATAATAACAGGAGGAGGAGGAGGGAAGAGTATAACCCTAATATAAATCCTTTTTCTTTATTACTAATAATATCTAAATTAGTAGCTAACTTACTATAACTGCTATAACAAAAGATAATAAGGGGAGAAAAAAAAAGGCATAATACCTTTATATCCTTAGGTAATAATATTAAGTAAGGTCTTAGTAGTTTAAGTAAGGCCGTTAGTGTAACAGGGCGCTGACAGTGACGCGCCTGCTAATAGACCTTCCAACGCCTGGCTCTACCCAATTGAGCCAGAACGCCAAAAGATCCACCAATGCTCAAGTGGTCCTCACTGAGCACTGCTGTCAACACCACTTATATGGCCAATCGCCAATCAATTGGGGATTGTCACCCTGTGACAGTTAGAGCTCTTATAACAAGAGGCCTAACGCTATAAGAGCCTAAATCTAATAATATAACTAGGGTAATTAATAACTATTAATAACTCTTTAATAATAAGTTAGATAGTTAAGTTACTATAAAAGTTATATTATTTTTTATAAAATCGCTTTATATAGCTATTACTTAGTTAGTAATAAAGTTAGGTAATAGTAAAAAGGAGTTTCTTTAAGAAGTTAGTATTATTAAATAGTTAATTATCTGCTAAATATATTACCTAATTTTCTTATACTACTACTATAATATTATAGTAAATTTTAATAGAGCTCTTACTACTAATAATAATATCTACCTGCTTATACGCCTCTACTAATAATAATAACTACTGCTTATTAAGCCTATTATTACCCTCCTTGTTTTTTCTTATAAAGTTATATAGGTGTTACGTAACAGACAGGAACATAATAGAGAATTCCTAGAGAATTACTATAATAGCCACTAGGAATTATCTAGGGTTTTACTGCTAAGTAGCAGTATATTTCCTAGGAAGTCTCTAGGTAATACTTATATAATCTATAAAGAAAGGATTAATAATACTTTATAAAATAATAGAGAACGTAATAGCAGCTTTATAGCTATTACACTAGGGAATTATAGAGATATACTTTACTATTTAAGTAAAAAAATATTTATAATATAGTTAAAAAGGATTATTAAATATTATATCTTATTTTCTTATACTAAAGTATAATAAATAGTAGTATAACTATTTTTTTTATTTAAGGAATAAACCTTTAGGTAAGTAAAAAAGGACCTAGTTAGATAATTATTTAGACCCTCTTTAGCTCTTATATATAGTACTTATTAAGAACACTTTTATATAATATATATTATATATAAGTATAATAAAAAAAAACAGACACTAGTTTACTTTCTTCTTAAGAGTATTTTCTAGCTATAACTAGGAACTCTTTAGGAAATACGTTTTCCTAAATAAAATTACTAGTAATTAGTTAGTAACCTATACTAATAGCTAGCCTTCTATATCTAAGAGATCTTAAGAGAGTAGCTTAATTAACCTTAGCTTATTTATATAACCTAGATTATTTTAAAGACTATTTAAGCGCCTATATATATACTCTCTTAAAAGTTACTTATTAGTTACTATAGGCTTAGTATAACTTCTTAAAAAGATCTAAGTTATACCTTACTACCTAGATATAATATAAAGGACGCTATTAATAGGCTATAAAAACCTAGCTAGCTAAAGATTATAAGTATACTAAAGCTATTACCTTATTTACCTAACGTAAAATAGAAAATACTTTAGTAGTATTATTACTACCTAGAGGTAAGGCCTCTTCTTTTAGTAATTAGCTAGAAAAGGCTACCTCTTCCTCTTAAGAAGAGATATACTATACTAAAGTTAACTTAAATAATCCTAAGGATATAAATAATTCCCTACCTCCTAAGATAGTAATTAGGACTATAAACTCTAAGGAAGATAAATTAAATAAAGATAATAAGGATACTTAAACTAAGGTCTTATAAGGTAGAATATTTAAGTATAATAAATATAATTATAAGGGTAAAAGGAAGCTTTAGGAAGCCCTACTTAGTAAAACGCCTAAGTATTACTAAGACAAAAGTAAAAATAATAAAGGGACTACTACTAGGCCTTTATAGAAACCTTCTCTCTTGTTTTTAAAAGAAGATATAGATAAATAGGCTTATTATATGTATAACTAAAAGGCTTAAGATAGCTATAATTAGAGGGGAAGAGGAAGAGTAGTAAAATTCTAGTAATCTAGCTAAGCAGACTAAGGAACTAGCCCTTTTTATAATAAATAACTAGACTAATATAGAGAATTTTAGAATTACTTAGTTACACCTACCTTCTGTTTTAGAACAGAAGACATTAAAACTTAGATATAAAAGCTTATATAATTATAACCTTAAATTTAACCTTAAATTTAACCTTATTTATAACCTTAAAGTAACACTACTATATATATATATATATATATAAGATATCTAATATAACCTTTACTTCTAGATATAGACCTATAGAGATTTACTCTCTAGTACTCTATCTCTAAGAAGTATAAAAAGTAAATATATATAAATAGTAACTAGATTTACTCTAGGGTACTAAAAATAGAAATATCTACTTAAATAAAACTAGATATTAAACAGACCGTATTATGCTATAACAAGCTGTAACAAGTAGTATAACAGGCTGTAACTAGCTTAAAACAAGCTGTAATAATATAAGGTTTTAAATCTATATAATAGTATAATAAGTATAATATAATATAAAGGTTAATATATATATTACTAGAAATATAAAAGTTAGTTAATTATATATAGAGAGAAGATCCCCTTAAAGGGATTCTAGCTCTCTAGGCCTTCTAAAGCATAATAAAACTACACCTATCTTTCTACCTATCTATTTCCCTATCTATCTAGTTAACCTACTAATCTACCTGTTATTTCTTATTAGTTATAAGCCTAGCTTCTAGTTAATCTTAATTAACTAAGTTTAATACATAGTTATAACACATATAATAGAGGGTCTTTACTTAGGAATCTAAGGTTTCTACCTTACATAATATATCTAAGGCCTATAAGCTTTATAAGCCCTTAAGGAGGTAAGTTAGATATTAATTACCCTTATAAGTATATAACTATTTAATTATAGTAACAAAATAGGTAACTTACGTACTTTTTTATATAGTTATATTTCTTAGTTTAAATAGTTTAATCTACTAGTAACCTAGGACGCTATTAATAATAGTAAGACTATAGGAACTAAGACTATCTAGCTAGACGTCTACTAATTTATAGACTCCTTTTAGTGTTACGCTATAATATCTAAAGACTACACTATAGCTATACTAATAAATCTTTATCTTTACCTAAAAAGACTTATAAATAAGTAGTACTTAGGAGACTTAGAACTAGAAGACTAGGCTAAGCTTTAAGACCTATAGCTTAGACTAGACTATTAAAAGGAGCTTCTTACCTAATAATTTAAGCTACTATATAAAGTTACTAAGTAAAGGCTATATTAAATTAAGTATATATTAGAGGATATAAAAAACTAAGTAGATATTTATTATTTTACTATATAAGTTAAGTAACTAGCTTATATAGTAAAAAAACTAAAATCCTAGTATCTTACTTTAGTTTATAATAAGATAAATCTAAATCTTATAGCTAGATATACCTAACTAATAGCTTATACTAGCTATATAAGATAGCTAGAAAATCTTATATCTTACTAAAAAGGCTAGAGAAAAAATATTCTTTATAGTAAATAAAAGTATCTTATAATATCTAAACCTTAAAAAACTAAAGATAAGCTAACACTTACTTATAAGGTAACTAGATCTAAGTTACTTCCTAGCTAGTAATAGAATAAGTAAATAAAGCGTTACTAGAAACTACTTACTTATTTCCTATAAAAGAATACTATAAACACTATAGAAAACGCTAGCCTTTTTAAGGAAAAAAAGGGATAAAAGCTTATTTTATACCCTCTATATAAAATAAGGAACCTATAGGGAAAACCTTCTTAAGACTTTAGAAATTTATAACTAGTTTAC